GGGGGGGGGGGGGTCTATAAATTATTACCGAGGGATGTATTCCTGGTTTTTGTAACGAGTGTATGGGTGTGTATATATATATCAATGAATAATTTATTCGTGTAACCTATTTTCACAAACGGTCAACATCATTTGTGAAAGCATAATTGGAGGGATTTAATATGTACGAATAAAACTGGCTAATTCTCTGACATCTAGGAATGTGTGCCCTTTTCGACATACGAAAAGATTTCTGAATCTGTCTGTACACGTGCAACTACATATTTGACGCAGAATGCATAAATCCTGCACGTGCACGAGCGCCTCGTGCGTCACTGTTACCCGTTCGCAGTATGGTGGTTTCAGCTTTTTCTACTTTTTAATAATTTTATCAAAGTTTACTTGCGCTTACGCTCGAATAAAAATAAATATTTTCAATTATTATCTAGAAAAATTGTTGCAAGCTATGGCTTTCGATTATCTAGATATCGTTAAGGGATGTTAATGTCCGTTGTGTGTGTGTTGGGTGTGAAATAATTTATCGTGTAGGATATATATATTTTTTTTCATTACAGCCCTAATTGTTTGCATCTTCGAATTTCGCACATTTACGTAAGTCCAGTCTTACATGTTTGTTTCAGCGTTATTCGTATCATATTGTTTTGCATGACGTTCTACGTTTATATTCGGGCGACCATTGCTTCCCTGTCTGAATTGTATACTTATACATATGTATATATTCGTCTTAGAAATTTCTAATACTTTGCTTTCTTTTTACTTTTCGTTATTAGTTAATTATGACGTCACGCACTCCCTATCGGTATAAAGATCTGGGCCAATAGAAAGACTATTACTGAATTTTTATGACACGTTGTCTTCTCTCTCTCTCTCTCTCTCTCACAATCCCTCTCACTCTGATAATTCATCTTGTTTTTATAATCCATTTCCGATCCTTACTTATATTTATTCCTATACACAACCCACCCTCAGCCATCACCTTTCACCTCTTACATGATAAACTTTTGGACGAATTGTGGGATTCTCGAGGGATACGTCGTGTGTGTACGACACGTACGATGATAAAAAGTTCTTTGAGTGAGTGTTAAAAAAAAAAAAAAGAATAAAGCGTTACTCAATTTTCTATATTAAAAAATGATATAATGGAGTAAAACAAAAGTTTTCGGGTATTCTTGTCACGAACTCCTATTTGGTATAATATATTGGGCAGAAGTTCCGTTAGCAGTCTCTTCCAGGTTCCCGTTTCGCTCTTAAATGCTAATAATTCATTTGGAAAATTCGTCGTGAATATCCAATGCAAATTCTATTTGAAATTCAAATCGAAAGGATAATTTGTTGCCGCTGGATTCGCAAAATATTCGCAATGACTCAACTGAAAAGTGACTGAGTTGACAATCACGTTATAATATGTGCTCGTTAAGTGCATTTGTCGTCGATTCAATAATCTTTAGATACATAGGATACATATATACCCCATTTGATACTATATTAACATAATTAAAAATACTCGCGATTGTCAACAATAAAAGAAACGTCAATATTTCAATTTTATATAATGTAAAATGCAAATAGGTTCTAATATCCGGGCGTGTCTGCGTTTTATAATTTGCCAAAAATAATTTTTCGAATATCAAGAGAAAAAACAGATTGGTTATCGTAGGCCTCATCCCGGTGGGAACAAGGGTCGGAACAACATCGGTGCGCGATTTTATTGAAATTTTGGAAAAGCAAAGGGGCAAAAGCAGATTCCGAAGTAGAAAGATGTCGCAATATTTTTCATAGTCTCGCGAGACTTAGAAGACGTCAGTATGACAATGGTATGGATAAAATACTAAAGATACAAATGACGTGATTGTAACCTAACGCTTGGCAGTACATATAACATATAATAAGTAGATAGGCAGATGAGTAAACAGACAGCGAGATAAATAAGATACAAAAAGTATAAAGGAGAGTTACGATAGTAATCAAACGACGAGACAAAAGAAAAAAAATTCGCAGACATCGCTAAGAAGTCTAATTAAAAAAAAAAAAAAAGTAGTATCAAAAATTAAACTAACTCTTCGAAGATGATGGATAATTCGTAAGAAAGATAGGAGGGAGGAGATGATACGGGACGATGAAAAACAGCTTTACCATAAGGATGGACCAGTGATCAGAGATTCTTTGATGATTTTTCAAATTGATGCAAGACACTGAAGGAGTGTATAACGACAGTTCATGATAATATCTTTTGCATGTCATTGGCCATGTTGAATTTCTAGCTACCCTATATAATGAGACGGATAAAAGAGTCGAGACTTGCATTATTTTCACATGACTATTGTGAATTGATGACACAGTACATCCCCCTGTGGACAACGTCTAATTAAGAATCGCATGAGTATTAGATAGTCAAAATAAAAGAATGAATTTTTAAATCCAATGGGATAATTAAAAAATATCTGCATCCCTGTACCTTTCGGTTACCTGATATACAAATATACGCACTGACGTTTTTACATTCTAACTAATTAACTTAATGTCAATGGTACCCGTTAATATCATTTGATGCGGGCGCAAGTATGAATATTTCGTGTTCTATTGTTTACAGTCTAAATTCTAGATCGTCCTCGTCTAATCATTCGTATTCTCTTAACTCTGATTTTCGTCTTTGTTGTAACTTCATACCGCAGTAGCAGCAGCAACAACAGTATCGATCTCTACAAATTGACAGAGACAAACAGATGAAATCGCCTACGCCGTTCGCCCACGCAGTTTCGTTCCTGCGCTTTTTCGATTTGCGGGAACAAACAAACAAAAAACTTGATTTTTACAGTCGAGATTATCGCTCCCTTATTGCAACACCCTTCCATTAGTTCCATCAGTTTAGAATGTATCCCATCATTGTGTATCCTGCTATGGTCACGTTATTTCAGTGGCTTTTCCTTCTCTCTCTCTCTCACTCTCACTCTCACTCCGTACGTTACTTCCTAACATACGTCTTTCTCTTTCTCTTTACTTTCTTATTCTCATCTTTTGTTTCTTCCTTTTATATAATTATAACGCAATCTTCACGACGATCCAATTATTTTCAGTAATTTTTATACAATTTTTCATTCATACACTCTTTCTCTCTCTCGCTTACATACACGCGCTCTTTCTCTCGTTCTCTCCTTCGTTCTGCATTTCTTTTGATTTTCGCCGAATCGGCATTTCGGGCCCGACGTACGGCTCAAGTTAATGTTCAATTCGAACTTGGCATAGAATTATTTACAAATTGTGCAAGTCATCCGAAACGCAAGACAGGATATCTGATGAATTCATCGTATCTATAGAAATAGTAGAGGAATTAATAAACTCGGATACATATAAATGCCAAAAAGAGAATGTCCTCTTGCTGTTTCGGATGCTTTACGTATGTGTCTAGTATTACACTTTCCTCGTTACATTCTGCATTTACCCCAAAGTGGTGCTAATATACGAGATTTAAAAAATTCGAGAAGCACACACCAACTCGGATATCACCAAAAGTCATGAAAATCACGCCAGCGCTTTTCATCCGCTGTTTGAAACGTAGTTGGGCGAACGTGAATACTTTGACGTAACGAAATCGCGATAATAAATCGTGCGTGACTTGGAGAGTTATGCAGCCATTGTCGATATTTTCGACAAAGGAAAATCAGCTGGTAACCTGGTCGTGACAGCTTTACATACGAGTTCTAGACGATTATCGATTGAGCTAGAATGAGCGCATTAATAAATCCTAGAAAATATGGCATTCGCGTGCATTCACAATGGTTGAGCTATTCATCTCGATATTAAAGAGCGAAGGATATTATACTTTTATGTAAATTCGTACCCACTAATCGTGGGATATAACGAGATCCTTGCTAAGAGTTATGATTTCAGATCAATGACTGCGATCAGATAACGGGACGTGCGTCGTGACGCCATTTTTCAGTGTTGAGGTCGACGAATTGAAAGATTAAAAGGCAGGCCTGGTAAAAATCTAGTTGATTTATACGGTAAGAAAAGCTCAATTATTCTTACCATAACCACTTTGGCCGTCCCAGCCTTTTTCGCCGTGAGTTACGTCTTCGGTTTGACGATTTAGAGTAGTATCTGTCACGACCTCGGTCTCAAGCCGATCTCCAAAGCAGTTCAAAGGCTGCCGAGCTCTCCATCGTAACAGCGGATGAGGCTTTATGACTTAAAACTTAAAGACGGCGTCTTCCACTAGAATTTACCGCTAAATGCATGTTGAGTCCGGATGCTGACTTGCTGATTTCCTCGTCTTCTTCGGCTCTTTCATGGTCAACTCCTGTGACGGCCTTCGCGGACTGCCCAGAGTAACTAAGGCCGAAGCCACCGCAAGTCCTGCGCTTTGACCTGCAGGCGTGTAAGGTTCACCACCTGTTGGTAACCTCACCAGCAGAGATAAAACTGCTGCTCTGTTACCGCAACAAGGCTCCAAAGCTATTGGGCTAGGAGCATCCTAAAAATATGGAATTTGGTTATGAATTTCATAAAGTTTTACTGTGCGCAAATTAACAAAGTTAAACAGTGCGTTTATTGACCTTTTTCTTTTTTCGTGAATTATTGGCGTCGCCATTGCTTCCGTCGCCGCTCGATAGAACGACGTCTCGCCTCTCGATCTCCACCAGTACCTGACTGAATGCTCTGCTAGCCATTTGTTGCATCTCGACGAAGAGTCTTTGGCGTCTTCGATACAGGTCGTATCTCTGCTTGATCTTCCACAATACTGCTGCCACCAGTAGCAGGGCGAGGAAGCACCTGTGCGGTGTCATGTAATCTCTAGTTTACAAGTTAGTACTGCCTGAGGTTTAGGACAACAGAAAAGGGCGGTGGTACGAATTTTGAAAAAAAAAAGAAAAAAATTGAAAATTGTTTTCAAAATAGGGGGCGTATTTTTCATTCGATCTCTTCACTGACCTACTTTTAGAATTGCATGCAATACAAGCTACTTCTCTATCGAAGATCATTCCTTAGGAAGATACTCACGAATCTCTCGATTAGCTATGAACTTTAATTTCTTTAAGTCAGTCTCGAGAACGACGCCCGTATGTGTTTAGCAGATACTCACGTAGAAAATGTAATGAAGAATTGTTGAAGATTGAGCTTGGAATATTGTGAGAATGATATCTGTATCCAGAGGGGTGGCTGGAAGTCATAAACGTAAACGTAGAATGTAGTTAGAGTGTTGTTATCCTCGCTGCCAAAATTATAGTCAGCCTTGCTGAAGCGATGCTTGTAAGTCGTGCAGTTGGCACCAAGAAGTAACGGTTTCTCAGGACTGTTGCCCTTCTTCATAGTGATTTTCATTTTGGCAAGAACTGAGCAGATTATTGTAAACTCGGCATCAACGTCTGGCTTTGATGGGGAATTTTTGAAATTAATTGCTGTGTAATGACGATCCTCTTTCTTGCTCAGATTAAACGTGAATTGATAATCAATAGTCAGATCATCTGAAAACACAATGCATTGAATATCCAAGTAAGTCAATTTTCTCAATCGTAAAATCACTGATTCACAACTAAATATGACTTACAAAAACATGAGCCCTTAGTAGGATCACCATGATAAAGACCAGTCAAATCGCAGCGTTCGCAATGATCTCCAATGATACCTTTAGTGGTGCAGAAACACTTTCCAGTCTCACTGGTACACTGAGTGCCTTGATCGTTGCAGGAGCAAGCTAAAATGAAAAAAAGGAACAGTGTGAACTCGTGTTAACACAGTATAAGAAAAAGACAGATGAACAAAGTTGCATGGAACTTACGTTGACAAGTTGCTCCATTGAGAGGACTCCCATAATATCCAGGGATACACTTGTCGCAGTGAGGCCCATGGGTCAAGTTTGCACAAGGTTGAATACAAACGCTGCTGTTTGGAAGACATGTACTGTGACCATTGCATTGGCAGGCTGTAACGTAATCGAATGATTTCGTGTAAACATAAAGTGAAAAGAAATTGAAACAGAAGCAAGAGTTTCTTCTCAATATATATTTAGAAAAACTCGACAAAAAAAATGTTAAATAGTATATTTTTTTTAGATAAATGAAACTTACTAGGACACTTGGTAAAGTACCAGTAATCAAGAGAACAAATATTATCTTCTCTGTTGCTAGGACCACGCGCGCCTCCAGGTAAACATTGTCCTTTTCCAGTACCGGATCCGTCATCACACCATCCACAACCTGGATCTGATCTGCAGCTAGTACAAGACGAATAGAAGCTGCACCATTCACGTCCTGTTTCAGTGGCACGACACTTAGCATCTGCCGTCGTCCACTCACGACATTGTCCATAAGGAAAGCTCGCCGGGTAGGCATTTTTGTCAACGCACTTCCCTTCGTTTTGGCACCAGATACAATCGGACTCTGTGCAATTTCGACAGGAAGTGAAGTCTGCGCAGGGATTTCTACAGGTGTCCATTGTTAGTCTTTGCGCTTGGATCGTTCCATTGATACCATTCACCTGTAAACAGGACAAACAGTTATCTAACTAGTTAAAACCAACAAATTTGATGTAGTAAAAAAAAAAACTAAAATTCACTGACGTATAAAAATATTCTCTAGTCCAATACCCAGTACTTACTTCTCTGATTTTGGATTGCGGTTTGCATCGATCAGGTCCACTCGACCAAGACCACACGCAGTGCGTATTACTGGAACACCCGTGGCACGTATGCAACTGCAAACACTCAACACCAGAATGCGCTTCGCACTGATCCAAGTGTGTAATGGCCTTTAGAGGCGGAGTATTTGCATTGTCGCGACAAATCTCATAAGAACAACTCTTGCCACACCAGACACAATTGTAAGATGTCTGCACGCAGGCCGTGCAGTCCGTGAGTAGCTTGCAAAGCTCTTTGTGGGAAGTCATGCCACGTGGTGGCATGTCGTCCACGCATCTCATGTAGGTGCCGTCGTGTAAGTCGTCGTTTTGGAGTACGTGCCGAGGAATCGTTGAGATTTGCAAACACCGACCCTCCCTTTTATCCCACACGCACTTCACTCCCGTCCTCGCGTTCAAGCATTGGTTCTGGCTCGTGAGATGCTCGCATCTACCTGGTGTATACCTAATAGCAAGGACATTGATAATGAAAGATATGATCCCGATATTCCATTCATCGTTATTATTTTCTAATATATACCTGAGCATATCTGAGAGCATCTGTCCATCGAAACCACCATAGATATACATGGACTTCTCAAACACCGTCGCACTGTGTCCGTATCTAGGAAGATCAATCATTTCTCTGGGCATGGGAAATTGATGCCAGGAATCGCAAGTAACGTCATAGGCAATAGTATCGGCTGAGTAGCATCTTGCACCGTGAGAATGATGAGTATCATTATGAGTGTTACCACCAAAAATGAGCATCAACCCGCCGGATACAAAGACGCCAGTGTGAAAGAATCTAGCTGATGGTGCGGAAGTCAAGAGTGTCCACTCTCTGGTATTAGGATGATATGAGTATAATCGACTCGTTAGGATTTGACTGCTCTGTGATTCGGAGACGTATCCGCCGTAGACATAGATCAGATTCGTCAATGGATCATAGGCAGAACTGTGACCATAACCACCTTTCACAGGAAATCCATAGGTCTCCACGATCTGCCATTCTCTCGTGCCAAAATAATACTCTTGGACAGTATTCAAATATCCGTACTGCGGAGAGTGTCCAAATATCACAACCATTTTTTCTTTTTTTCCGTTACTCTGCACCATGTTAGCAGTGTGTCCAGCAACCTATAAAAAAAACACATTACATTTGCTTCCTATTCTATAAATTTCTAAAGAATTTTAACTATATATAAATCTTATTATTCGCAATCAACTAACTTAAAAGTGCTCAATTGCGTATCCAGTTCAAACAAAATACAATCTATTCATAAGAGTGCGAGAAAGAAGTGAAACGTTTTACAGAATGAAAAAAAAAAAAAAAAAAAAAAAAAAAAAAAAAAAAAAAAAAAAAAAAAAAAAAAAAAAAAAAAAAAAAGAAATACAACTACGTCTACTTGCTCGTTGAGCTCGCGCGAAGACAATGGAGATGCTTCTGCGAATGGTTCAACGAGCAATCGTGGGTAGTCTCTTGATACGAACGGTACGCATGCTGGAATATTAATGGACCGCGGAACCGGATCCATTGGAAAATCACCTTGAGTGGTCCGCACATGGTCTTGTTATTGCAGTTGTCATGAACAGTAACATTTTCCCAGACTTTAGCGGATACGTCGAAGGCCCAAAGTTCATTGGTCACCGTAGAGTTTTGCACGACGCCACCGTACATATATATCTTGTCACCAAATAGAACGCAAGAATGGGCATAACGGGGAGCGGGTAGTTTGCCTTCTACGTGGGGCGTCTCCCACACGTTACCGTTATAATCATAGACGTAGATCATCTTCGCCTTATGGAAACTCTCACCGCCGACGACATAAAGTGAGTCTCGCCAGACAATAGAACAGTGACTAGCTGATCCCTCAGGAGAGATGTCCTTGTAAGTGACTGCCTCCCAGAATCCTCTCTCGTTCCTTTGACTGCAGTCTGAACCTAAAAGGATCCCCAAGCAGTATTAAGAACAGTCAGAAATCATGGACAAATACAGATACTGACATATATTTCACAGAATACAAATTTTTCAGTATCCCCTGCACTTCAATAACAATAAATGTATCACGTGTAAAGATTTTGTACAATGACATTTAAAAACCTCAGCCACTACTCTTAACAGTTTCCCCCATTCTATTTACCTTTAAAGCCAGATTTACATTCGCATTGATGCCTCTCACGATTGCACTCGCCTTGATGAAGATCATACGAACAATTATTCGGGCAGACTTGAACGTCACAAGCATCTCCAGTCCACGTAGCATCGCAAGTACATACGCCTTCTATGCAAACGCCATGCCCAGAGCAGTCAGTATGTGAATACCTGTATGAGAAGTAAAGAGAAAGGTCTACTGAGCATTCAATAAAATTCTAAAATTTATACACACACAACTATTTTCACCATGTACATTAATAGTACAGAATTTCAAATATAATCAAAGTATGAAAAGAGCATTGAAAAAATATACATCACAATGGTACCCAGTGTCATGTAATCTCATAGTGTACCAAGAATAGCAAATTTAATTTCATGGTTAGAATCTTTCCGAACGAATGGCAAAGCCTGGTAAGTGATTCGTATGAAGAGTCAGTGTAATATCGTATGTGATAGCTAGCACTGTACCAAGTTAATGTGACAGGTACGAGTTAAATAATGTCTCCCATAGAGGGTAAGGTACTACGAGCAGGAGCTCTGCTATACTATGTAACGTAATGGGACTTGGGTTATAAGAGAAACGAGTAGCATAACAGGTGACACAGAACTTCGTACCTGCTAGGACACGCGTTGATCTTATATGTAATATTAAAACCGCTCATATTATAAGCGACGTCGGAGTAGAAGTATAGAAGGGCACTTCCTGATCGTGCCACTACTTCGGGCACACGCCGGATGTGGTAACCGTCCTTGTGCATTAGTCCAGAAAAGACCCCAAGTACAGGTGCCTCGACGCTGTCCCCGTCATAGATGTAGAGATGGTCCCAGCCGCACTCTGTGGCGAATTCCTCGATGTGGATCCTTATCGAGGAATTCGGGCTGCTTTCGATTAGCCAGGAGCACTTCATGTCCGTCGAATAATTTCCAATTCCTTCATGGATACTGCCCGAAGATTCTGACAGCCTGAAACATTGCGGTGAAGAGTTAATAAACCAATAAAAAAATTTAAGCACAGAACCTAACCCGTGGTAAATAAATAAATTAAGAAAGTGGGAAATAATTATTTATTAAGCCTGACTGCAGTTATTTAGGAACGCAGTCGAATGAAATTTCGCGTTAATAATGAAAATTCTTCAAGAAAATCGGTGCGGTACGTGTAACGAGAAATGCTTCGTGAAAACGCTGGCAGAGCCCTATACAGGGTTATTCAGAAATTGCTGGTATTAAGGAGTTGAACCCTTTGAGTTTACGTCGTAAAGATTTTTATAGCTACTTCTTTGATCCCTCTGAAAAACCTATACCGTCTTAAACTCTCTCTTTCTCGCCAACAGCTCCTACCGACTGGAAACAAGAGAGTCGATGGACGCCAGAGTACACGTTGCCTATAAATTGAAAAGCCTGACTTAAGGATAAAGGGATACCCCATAGCTATTACTGGCAGGATAAAAGCCCTGACTGAAAGATACAAGTCGATACCGCTTATACACGACCTATGAAATAAGGTCTTAATGTCTGGAGTATACGTGTCCTCGAAGAGGTTTAATTGATTTAAGGATAAATTGCCAATGGAGAAATGTCGTCGTTTATTAAACGCGAAATGATTATTTATCACGATAGAAATTCCGCCGGTTTACGCCCTTTTCATTTTATATCTGTCAACGCGACGGAATCTTAACGATCCTTCGCGTCCGCAGGTCGTTCAGCATAACTCGTATGCTTGGGAGTGACCAAAAAGTCTTGTTATGATAAACCTCTACCTTATGCCTCGTGGGATTATCGTTCGTCACCATTTTGTAGGCATATGTATATACATCTATAGAAGTAACGTATAGAGAACCGTTAATCGAGTTACAAGCTTCCACATTACCGTAGACTATGCAATGCGGTGAAAATATGTTTATCGGATTCTTCGTGAATGAATATATTTACGGAAATAATAATATATTAAATGACGCGTCAACTAGGTGGAAATTAATTTCTTTTTTATACAAATATTTTATATAAACTTCGGACATGGACTTTGACTGTCAAAAAATATTGTTAAAGGAATCGTGAATGGGGAGAAAAATCAGGGGAATAAATGGAGCTATGTGCATACGGGCAGTCATTAGTGGAATGCAAAGGTCAGTGTAAAGGGTACAAAAAAAAAAGGAGAATTGATTTTACCGAGAGAGAAAATACGTGGGGGAGCAGGCTTAATAGAGGCGACCTTGTTTAAGATTACCTATGATGCTCTATTGCAATCGAGTGGGACGTGAAGATGTCTATTCCCAAGGTGTTATGAGTCAATTAATTGTGATATAATCGTTACCGACAGTTAAGAAAAACGTGTCGAATTTCATTTGGTCGAACGACACACACGGAGTATACCTAATAGAAAGTGCATACGGCTAATAATAAGTGAGAAATGGAGAAAAATGTATTGGCGCAAAACACGTTAAGGTTGGGAAAGTTCAAAATCGATCGTAATCGTACTGCTATCGAATGTAAATAGGAAATTGGTCGTATAGAGTCTGCCCATAGGGAATCACGCTTGGGCAGCTCGTATGAAAGAAGTAGAAGAGAAAAACTGAAAAGGTTGGGAGCAGGTGAGGCCGAATTAAAATGTCATTGTTAATTTGGAGATAAACGAAAAAGAAAATTCTTTACAGACGGCCAATCAATTTTCTTGAACTTTCTGTCGTATTTCTGAAAAAGACTCAATCCAAATGCCAAGCGGATATTAAAGGTAAATCAATGAAAGAGAACGAGATGAGATAAGAGGCGTATAATAATAAAGTATAGAAAGATATCGAGAAGGATGGATAGAAAGATTTTTACATTTAAAATTCCCGCCGGTTTTACGACAGGATTTACGATTCTAGTCCAGACACGTCGCATCCAATTTTCATTGCAAGCAGTCTGCTCGGATAGTACTCGTGCATTATATAAAAGTTAATTCCCTTTATAATCCCATGACGCTATTGGTCAGATTAAAATAAACTCTGGGCAACCTAGATACGTCGAAATTCATTAAAGGTATTTTCGAGAGATGACGCCCGGACATTTACTTGGTATTTGTGAAATAGACCTAGCTAAACAGTCAATACTGACAAAGTGGCGTCGCTGTGGAAAGGAAAAAAAGTCTCATGGTTACCATCGAAATTATGACATTGACCACTCCTACCCATCTTTACCACCATGTTCTGGTGACTTCACAATGTTATTTGTCGCTATCTGAAGGCCGTAAATAAATCAGCTTATTTTGGTGTCTGGCCTCTGCCTACTTTGTCCTAATCCCAATAACCGCGAACCCGTCATGACGTTTCAAGGATCCGAAACTGCGTCGACGGTTTATCATGGAAATGAGATTTGCTGTAAACTTCGAGCGTTTGTCGGGTCGCGTTCAAAGGGATTTTAATATTAAAAATTCAAGAGTTACTAGAGAAGGATAAAGAGACAGTTAAATGGGGCGCTTCGCTTTAAGGTAAAACTCAAGCCTGAAGCTTGGTCTTCTCGAAATTACCCTTAGTCCTTAGCAATTGATTTAACGCGATGGTAAGCGAGATACTTTGAGGAGACGCCATGCTATCGCGATCCGTATTTTTATTTAAAAAGAAATTGCTTCAGCGACGTTGCCTGATGAGAATTTTAAAGAGTGTTTCTTCGGCATCGGTTCGTTGACGCGTTCCACGTGTTCTATTGGGACTGTTTATCCATATATAGTACGGATGGATCAAAATCTTTAATGTAATATTTGAAAAGTATAACGATGGGGTTCTTCCGATCTTTGCGTGCGGAATTTCTGAGATATCGCAACGTTTCACGAAAAATGTTCGCTAAATAAATGAAGAGGAGACTTTATGGCTGAGATGACATTTAGAGCGTGTTCCAATTTCGCCAGACCATTTTATCGGTGGACGTAACAACTTCGTGAGGCCGGTAGAGGGTCATATGTTCAAAGACCGCGAAGGAAACTGTGGCCATAAAATAAACTTTAGGCATAAGAGAGATAAAGAAGTCGACAAGTGCGTTTCTTTTAATCAGGAAACAAAGAACAACGAGACACAGGTGTATCACGCTATGGTACCTCTTGAAAAACAAAACGATAATATTCTTGTTACGTTTGCGAATAACTGAACAGTCAAAACTACGAGATTGGGATATATCTATTTGAAAAGAATAATTGAATATAGCAAGGAAATTGTGTAATGATTTATGACCGTGAAATTGAAGGTTGTCTCAACGAGCAAAAACACCTTTACATAGAATCTGAGATGCTTTAGCTCATATAACAAATCTTTACGAGAGTGGCGGATCCACAGCGAAACGTCAAGAAGCCAAACAGGATCGTTCACGCTGTTGTGCGCGACATATTCGTGGGTGGGAATAAGGAATAGGAAAGAGCTAGAGAAAGAGACAGTCTAGAAGAATCATAGTTTATAAGGAACTTATAGAATTTTGAAAGGTCTAACGAAAACTTGATTTCACAGTAGTAAATCGCTCGCGGCAAAATTTTCAAAATTGCGCGCGACACTCGGGATGATTATCAAAAGGCTAAAGTTAGCGCGAAACAAGGATCCACTTGTTTACGTGGTATAAACGAGCTCCTGATTTCGGAGCAGTATATGGTTCATTAATAATTGGCATGAAATTTCATTAAAAAATTCAGGACATGTTCAAAATATGACCTATAAAATTTATAGCCAAGTCCCGTTGCTCATGACGCTGGGATGCAAGTCACTAACCATGGCTTAACCGAATTTACGAACCAAAGTCTTGGCGACTTTTAAATGGTTCATGAATATCTTTCCTACCTGACTTTACCGCCGCAGTATTGACATGACGGGCCTTGCCAGCCCTCGTGACAGACGCAGCTGCCATTGACACAATCTCCGTTGATACAACTGTCCAGGTCGCACGTCGACTCGGATCCTGATGAAGCCGATCTTGCACCTTGTAACACAACCGCCCAAATGATCACTGCCCAGAATATCGCACACGCTAAACCACCCTCGTGCCTGTCTTCGCGAAACAGTTCTTTCCGACGGTACTTCGACTTAAATAGGAACAAAAACATCTGCACGACTTCTGCCATTTTGGTAGGCTTCCATGACAGACAATGGCCGACGACAACGCGAGACGACTCTCTCGCAAGCACCTCGCTGTGCTGGCGGAGTCGAGAATGCGGGACCCGTACGATTCCTTAGCATACGGGCCATAGAAAGTGCGAGACTGAATAAGAAAGTTTACTCGATGCTGAAGAATTGTGTTCGGAGTTCATCGATCTCCGACTAGAAACACCATCCGCCGCTAGGTGGTAGCAGCAGCAACGTGGATAGGACAGATAATATAATATATTTACGCGTCTTTTTGGAAATTGTTTAACTTTTTAAAAATACGAAACTGTCGTTACCATAAACATAAAAAATGCATTTCAGTCGTTTAACTTATTCTATAAATAGAGCCTGTTCAGCAAAAGAGACTGGAAAAACAGTTCTTGGATATTTGTAATACAATTTTTATGGAACTTATCTTGGTTCAATAATTTTATCTTGAAACCCGTTACAGGTAAGATTAATCTTATTAAGTATGACAAACGTATTTATATATTACTATGAATAATGGAGATACACTGGACCGGTTCAGTTTGTGATGCTGCGCTCTCTCGATGCACTTTCTACAGAGATGGAGTTTATCTAGTGAGCAAATATAGTATGAGTTGTGCAACTCGTACATACGATTACCGTTAGAATTCCAAGTTGGATAAAAATTTCTTTTACTTTACCTCAATTTATCCTGACCTTTTAATCTTAAGCTACCTACCAGTTGAAACTGAGTTAAGTGAGGTCATACATATTTCTTCGTCTCAAAAATCTCATTGTTATTGTACATTTAAAAAGATTTAACCAGCTAACACATGTTTTCAGTAAATGGTAACGTAGTTCGCGCACCATGAAGTGAAGAAAAATGAAGACTACGCTCGTTTTCATTAAAAAGCGTTGGTCGACCACAGTTCAAGGCAAGTTGCTTCAGAATAACGAACAAAGAACGTATAAGCCTTTGTAGCCTCGAATATATAGGACGGTAAGCGACATTTGATACACTGCTTCTCTCACATAATAAAAATCTCATGAAAATAAAAAGAAAGGCCATTCCGAGAAATTGTTTGAATCTCACATTAAGCTTTGTTGTGTTATTCCATAATCACAACCTCAATTTAAAAAATATACAATCGCATATATATATGAACGGTCAAATAATCGATTGCACATGCTTTTAATGTCAATATATATATATACACCTATATATAGACATCAAATTAATATACAACTCTCGTAACCAGCGGTCTCGACAAACAGAAGATTGAATGCAACTGATTTCATCCAGACAAAGAAACCCTTAGAAAATACGAAAGTGCATGAATAAATGTATGAATCATCAATGATTCAACTCATGATATTCTGGACTAACAGAGACGCTAGTCGTCTGCATCGTACGGAAGTGTCTTATTAAATGCATCATTTATGTATGTGAGGAACCTTTTGTTAAAATTATACGCCTAATATTATATAATTACGTATATGCCAGTGTACCATTAATAATCATATGCATACATATTGCATCGTCGCAGTATGCAGTCATTCAATGAATCCACGAACTAAAATCTAGAAAATGGTTCTAGACTGTTTTACTCTCACTCTTCCGGCAACCTGTGTTCCTTCAACGACTTTGACTTTTCCATCTATGCATACATATACTTGCGAACAAATATATTTACTCATAAATTATATTCACTCTTTCTTCTACATAACCCATTATTCTGTGGTTGTGTGAAGAATTATCATTCATAGAAACGTTCATGTAAGTTACTACGTCGTAAATGAACTATATGATTTATGAAAGCATTAATCCGTTCTTCCTGTTCGTACGACCGATGGTATTTCATCGTGGCTGGTCACGTGACTGGCTAGATCCCCACTTTTTTGACATTTAATGGAACGTTTTCCTTCAGTGCAAACATGAACATCGTGCAAAGGAGGGACTGCCAGTGCAAGTAGCTACGGTAATATCGTACAGGGTTCCTTGGGTATTGAAGTTTGCTCTCGTACGAGTATCGTGTTTGCGCTTCCTGTGGTACTCGAGAGCAGATTAAAAGAGGCGTAAGTGTGGCGCGAATATTTGCTTCAATTTGATTTAATAACGCGGAGATTGACGATTATAAAATTTTCGTGCATACTGCATTTGGTTAGTTTGTAGATAAATTATAATAATTAAATAAATTTATTGTATAACAAATTTTGGAAAATGTCGATATTTATTTGGATGAGTATTGTAACTATTGAGGAGAAATAAATATTTGATTTCGTGCTGTGAATCAGGACAACGAAAGGAATAAATTTGACGGGCATTCTTGAAGCTTTTGGTGATGGCGGAACAGGAGAAGAAGAATCAACTGTCAGAAGGTATAGAGGGTAAACCGAAGCAAACAGATGCGTCAAGTCCGCAGGAAGTGAGCGACGTGGGGGAAATTGATGAGGATCTGTTGAAAAAAAAAGCCGAGGACGTCAGGATAGGCGGAATAGAAGGGTAAAATATTTTTATTAATCAAAGAGACACCTGCTTCTCTTTGGTTATTTAATATTGACCGATTGACTTTTCACATTCGCATCTGCTTTCTTTAAATCGGTTTTTTTATCTTTAAGAAACATAAAATATCCGTTTATCTACGCTACACAGAAGTAATGTCATTTTAATCTTGTAACGGAGTGACGTAACCTGACGGACTCCATATTACCACTATTTTATGTATTTATAACACGATGAAACCGTCATTTATGTGCTTGTCCTATTAAAATCTAACGCGGATAATCGACAATTGTATTTTCAGTGGGGCTACACATTCAACCCTTATAGTTGTAGACGGGAGTGGTAATAAGTTATCGGAATTGAAAGGACCTGGCACTAATCATTGGGTAACAATATAAAACTTTCGTACTATAACAGATCTATTAAGAGTGTTATGACATTTACCGTTTCACCGCTATTTGTAATGTATAGCGTACACAGCCCTCAGGGAAATATGATATAAACCATATGGGTTTTCTATAATATAAAATATAGTAATGAAATTTTTCATTGCTTAAACTAAAATGTTGAAAGCTATTAAACATATCTAATAAGTATATCTAAAGGAGAAAAATCATTTTTAGCAATTGGGCATACCGGAAACCGTCGCTAGAATCAATGGGATGATATCACGAATTAAAACAGAATTAAAAATTCCGGAAAAGACGCCACTCGATTGCGTGGTTAGTACTATTGACTAATTACCTATGATGGTCTTTCATCTTTAATTAGTTAATGACCTGCTAGTCCTTCGTTTTTAATTAAGATTCTTAATTCTCAAATATACATATCACGAATGAAAACATATTTTAGGGGCTTAGTTTAAGTGGCTGCGAAGAAAAAGAGACAGATCGTATAATAAAAGAAAGCCTTCTTCGAGATTATCCAAATGCCTCTAAGAATTATATCGTCAGTTCTGATACATTAGGAAGTATGAAGACTGGCTTAGAAAATGGTGGAATAGTTCTCATAGCCGGAACCGGAAGTAACGCACTTCTAATTAATCCGGATGGAAAGACTTACGGATGTGGAGGATGGGGTCACGTTATAGGCGACGAGGGCAGTGGTAAGAATTTCAAATGGGATAAAAAAGGAGTAATCATTATTGTACAGATCGTAAAATTTAATAAATATTTTTCTTCAAGCTTACTACATAGCTCATCGTGCTTGCAAGTACGTATTCGATGACTTGGATGATTTGAAGAAGGCACCATATCCGATAACCTACGTTTGGCCGGCACTAAAAAATTTCTTTCACGTAGCCGACAGACACGCACTGTTGTCGCACCTTTATTCGAATTTTGAAAAAGTTAGTTTTGCAAAATTCGCCAAGGAAATTGCAACTGGATGTGAGAATAAGGATCCGTTGTGTTTAGATATTTTCCGTGAAAACGGTGAATATTTGGCAATGCACGTAATAGCTCTCGCAAAAAAAGCACATAATGTAAGCCTATCAGGTTTATTAAAAAATTACTTGTAATTTATTAATTTTCAATTACTGTCTAAATGAATTTAAAATTATTATCGAATTCACAGGACCTGTTACTCTCGCCTGGTGGGTTAAAAGTCATCTGCGTTGGTTCTGTATGGAAATCATGGAACTTTATAAAAACAGGATTTACTGAAGCGATACATGCAAGCAATATTATTGACGAATTGACACTTCACCATTTGACAACGTCCTCAGCAATAGGCGCCTGTTATTTAGCAGCTGACCATGTCAAAGAGATAAGATTGAAGAAGAATTATGCGAATAACATAGATTCATTTTATCATTACAAGAGAAACAATTATTCTGGTATTCCTGATTTCTCAATACCTGAAAAGAGTGTCGCAAGCTTATGGGGAGTTTGTAGGGGACCATGCAATAAATCTTAGCACTTATATAATAATCAAGAGACAGTAAGCGATAAGACACAGAAACGTCTTGTAAACCCGGATACCAATGGTGCAGTCAATTTTAGTAAAGTCAAGAGGGCGCGTGTAAAAGGTTTAAAGAATCTTTGGAGCATCTAAAAAAAATTCAAGGAACGAAAACACGTGTGGTTTATAGCATGTGCACATCCTGTACAGTTGCTGTGTACAATAAAAACCTATAGAAAAAAAATATACACATACCGAATATGAGTCTCATATGTATGTACCTATTGTACATAAAAAAAGATCACGTAGCTTTGTACGCAAGAAATCTGAACAAATTAATTAATTAAATGTTAAATGATGTGATTAATAATGATATATGACAGTAGAATAAAACGATATATTTTAGTCTGCAGATGTTTTCAAGTATTTTATGAAAAAATATATATTACATTCTATACCCTTAAACTATGCAGTCACTGGCTGTATATTTCTCTTTTTATGACAACAAAAAATCGACAGTAAGTCAATCAGGATGCAAGCTTACTTTTATTTTACATGTATAATAGCCTCTCATAATGCTCTTTCTCTCGTTACCGTGACAAAGCGTTGACAAAAAAAAGAGACTCATCAGTTTTATACTACAAAAATAAAAAAAAGACTTCCCATGGGAATTATTGTATCCTCCATAGTTTTCTCAGTGAAAGCGATTGTGGATTTAATCTTCTATATAATTTACGTTGGTGGAGTTTTATTTTCAGTTATACTACTATTCTACATCATTACAATTCTACTGGATCATGTTAGAAGAAAATTTTCACGTCAAGACGAGTGAAGCAAAGCACGAATTCTGGTACCAATAAATGTAGTTGTGTTACGCAATGTTCAATTATTCGCAAGCACTGATACGCTGTATCTTGATATATCCGAATTGGTTTTATCTGCTAATTTGTACCGTATTTATTGATAACAATTATCGCCATAACTTGATAAATGCTTTTCTCAGGTTTGATTGCGAATCGCAATGATAGAAGAGAAACCCGTGCACACCTACGTGCTGAAAATACCTATTCATCGTTCATTCATGTTAAGACTGTTACCAAGTTGGGAAATATGTATACGCTTGGCTGCACATATTGTCAAACTTTCGACGCCAAAGCTGGAAGTTCATTCCAGGCTTTGACTGCTTCCTCCATTAAAAGGGTCGCGATCAATATGGAGGAGGAGACTGCAAACGTTGAAAGACGTTTAAATAGGACTTTTAAAAAATCTTTAAAATTCAATTTTTGTATATTGTTTCGACCCTATTGAATAATGTCTAAGAGGCAAATTCATGTTGTAAGTTTTACCATTTAAACGAGGACGAAGAATAAATTTTTGGCATTATTACAATGAGTGATACAACAAAGTTGATAATAAATAGTGAGGCATCGTTCTTTGAAAAATATATTCATATATCGCATTATCACAATTTTCGTGTACATTATAATTTCCGTAACGCGTACACCCGTTACATTGTCTCGTTTCTTTCTCCCCATTTATAAATCGCACTATTCTTTCGTGATAATCTTTACTTTTTTGTTTTATCACTTTTGCACACTTTCAACACACATTTGCACATACACTCGTCACATTCTAAGCACAATACAAAATATATTCAGGCTTCCGTATTGAAATGTCTAGCCGCTTATACGCGTAGAGCATTAATAAAATTTGTAAAGTAATTTTTTTCCGAGCGTCATTTATAGAGATCAATATGCCTCGTTAAAGAAGAGCAATGCGATATCTCAGGTTGGGAAAAAAATACAGTGAAATAATTGGGTATAGTTTTTCATTCGTTATAGTGCTCCTGCTTGAAGATTAAATTATTGATAGTAATAATAATTCATGATAGGCTTACGGGAAATCATGACTCTGCTTCGAGTTTTTTACTCGAATTAGGACCAGCTAATATTTTTCACTATTTTTTGCATCGTTCTTTGCATATTTATGCTATGACTCCAGAAATACTCGACACATTTTTTGGACTTCATGAATTGTTTGTTTTAAATTCTTGAAAAGCTCAAAGCACCATTGTTTATCATTAAATTGCATGGATTTTTGACAGATTCAATGACGCTCGGAGTCGATGTAAAAAAACATTCATGGCTTTCCTAGGGGTAGGTATATACAAATGATGGATTTTCTTAAAACCTTATGGAAATTCTTTCGTGACTTTGTTATATATACTTTTTTTTTTTAAATAGAAAAGAGAAATTAATTAAAGCAACGTTGATCCACAACGCCCGAGCATCTTTTAACGCTATACAATTTGCTACGGGATCTTCATAGAATTATAACAATTTTTAACGACAATCGTGTAAAATGACGATTTTTATTACAGAAATTTAATAAATTAACAGCTACGTCTTTAAGACGTAACGATTACCTGGTATACGATTGCTTCAAATATAACTGAGAAAGCATTAGCTTTTGTTTCATCTCAATTGGATGAATTTTCTCCAAAAATAGATGATTGGACACTTTTCATGTTATTATATCTCTGAGAGTTCAATGCTTCAAATCAAATATTTCTATTAACAGCGGTTCTACGCTGGACGGGTTCACGTTCAAGTATACTCCCACAACTTCATCGTTCAGTCTGTGAAGTTCCGAAATTTTTTGTATCAACTTTAAAAATGTGGATTTTGCTTCGCAACCTGGATAGACGCTCTCCAAATAACGTCTAAGAAGGTAGTAATAAGAATTCTGAAAGAAAAAGGTTCCATGTTAAATAACTATAGCCTGAAGCGATGCCAAAAATATCTATAAGTTCATTAAGATTAACAATGAGTTTTATATTATTCAGAATTTCTTGAACAGCATACCTGTTCCAATTTGATAACATCACTGTGTACCACGTGTGGTCTGTCGGGTGTAAAAAGAGCTATCGCACTTAAAATTAATATGATATTCTCGTCCCGCCATCTTGGATCAAAAGTTCTAACAAATCTTGCATGTTCGGCATACAAATTTCCTTTGGCCTCTTTTAACACATCCACTTTTATTTTAGACATTCTCTCCTGGCTATGTGGTATCTTCCATATGTCTTTATCAGGATCATAATTAATGGCGGACCGCAAAATCATCATTTCCGTGCAGCCACCTTTCAAGAGAGCCAATTGATCTTCTTGGCACATATTCTTGAAGGCGTTGATCTTCTTTGACATTTTTATCAGCCTCCTGATTGCGATTGCCGTTAAATTGATTACGTCTAACAACATAGGATCAGATTGGCCCGAGTTGCTCTAAGAACAAAAAAATTATCATAATCAAAACTGCTTAAATTTCTTTAGTGCATAACATAAAGATTATCATTTCCAAGTTTTGTGCAAAGAAAGAAGTATCTTCTCGTGTCAATTCACATAAAAATTGAGAGACACGTTTCTAAAGTACACAAGTAATTATTTTGATTGGAGCTTTTAAAAATCACCTTGAATCTGCATTGTTCTCCTACTAGATTCGTAATGTCATCGTCCAAGGGGGCCAGCAGCGCTTTATTTGCCACAATCAGTTCATTGAGCTTTGCCCTTTCAGCGTCGTTCAACTCTCTGCTATTTTGATTGCCACCCAAAGCGGAGTAAGCCGAAAATTCCAACTTAATCGCTTCGCAAAGTATCGACTCTATAGAATTGGCGGCAATTGGTATTCTGAAAGAGAATATTTTATTCAATTTGTTCGCGTTTATCAACCAAAAAAGTAAGCAGTTATTGTATTTAAATGCAATATGACAACTAAATTAAAGATTTTACATAAGTTTCTCACCTTTGTACATCTTGAAGAACATCCCTGGTAACATCTTCCATGCTCTTGTTAAAATCACTACTCGTACTAGGTTCTTCACTTTGATTTTTACACTCTTCTGGATTCCTATTTGTTATTAGATTCGTTAAAATTGGATTCTCAACCTGATGCTGTTCACCCTCTAACATGTGCCTAATCATATTATCTGAAATTCCATTATTTGCAAGATTTTCAGTAAGTTCCGTTTGGACTTTACTGCTGTCATTATCAGATTCTTGTTTTACAGAAGAGGAAACTATGTTATTTTCTTCCAAAAATTGTGAAATTTGTGGATCCGCTGATAGTTTTGTCACTGTATCAGGATCTGTCATGATTTTTGCTATCAATCTTTGATCTTGAAATATCTTAGCAACTAGAGTAGGATTGCTAAGAAACTTTACAATGAGGCTAGGATTTTCCATGAATTTTGAGACTAGACCAGTTCCTTTCGGACATGTTTCCTTTGGCTTTTGACAACTCGTCGTTTCCTCGGCGACCATCTGCATGTTTATGGCTTGAGGTGGGTCAGTTTGCAACTTAGACTCTATTCTAGACGTCGAGGAACAGTCTGTGTACGCTAAGGGTGATTTTCTTTGTTCAAAATCTTGTTCAACTCTTGACGATTTGGATATATTACAGTCAAATTTCGCAATATACCTTGATGCACCAGCAGAACTTTGCAAATGAGAATCAAAAAACATATTTTGTTCATAATTTACTAGCTTCATCTTGTTACGTTCATTTTTTGTTGTGTTAGATGATATATCCTCATATCTTGCTTGGTTTGAAGAACCCTCGTCAAAATTCGAAGTACTTTGATCATATCTGGAAGTGTTTCGATCGTATTTTCCAAAATTGATAGCAGAATGACTGGTAGACTCTTTAAGCATGTCTAACGTTTTTGATCCCGCGATATTGGCGCCTTCAGGTGGACTTGAAGGACTCGGTACGCTAGCTGCAGTGACAGGACTCATATTATCAATCACTGGTTGTCTATTGGCATCTAAATCTGTATATTTACGATCAGACTCCCACATATATGTTTCAGATGCGACTGAAGCAACAGATGCTACTGAGGCTGTAGAGATAGTATCATTATCAAAATTACTATCCTCGATACTCTCTCTTTTCATTTTTGGCACTTTTGGACTTTTGGACTGTGGCCGTTTTTTCGCACGGTTTTGTTCAATTTTCTGACGTTTGAGAACTTTGTCTTCCTCGGACATTATATACTCCTTCCGCATGCCTATATTGAAACATTTGTCCAATCGGCATTTTTGACAGAACCGTCTCGTTACCACAGTAATATCACAATTCTCTGTGAATGGACACCGAAAGTCCTGTAAAAATAATAAAAAACAAATAAATCACTATTATGATATATAATCATGTCATATACTTAATTAACAATAATCAATAGACTTCAAGTATAAAAAACATTATTATCTATTGATTAAATAATCACATTTCAAAATAGTGTTCCAGTTGCTCCATACCGATCAGGTACTATGTAATGAATAAAATTACGTTGATTTATAAAAAAAATATATTCATACGATCATATTTTGTATTGACACTAAATGTAACATTAATAAAGCTACAAAAGGAATATTTGAATGAAAAGAATCACCTTATTCTTCAAGGCATTTCTTCTAAAGAAGGCTTTACAACTCTCGCAGGAGACTGCATTAAAGTTGTATCCTAAGGCCTTATCACCGCAGACACCACAAATCTTATTGGCCTCTCTTCCAGGATGTTCATCTTCCATTTCTTCCTGATAATGTTGCCTTGCTGATCACGTTCTTTGGCTAATGAACCATCCTTACTCCAATTTATGTTCCCGCTGACATAAGAGTCAGCCGATGACTCACGTCAACACTACCCATCACCGAATTCAATTGATACAAAAATCTCTTCAACAGAGAGTGAAACTCCTCTGGGGTTACCTGTAGAGTAACGTCCTAGATCTGCTGCGATTCTTTGCTCGAAATGTCTTAAGTGACAGCCTGAATAAACCGCTCAATTGACAACCACTTATCACACTTAACGAGCGGTACGTGAACGTGTCGTCTCCAGTCGTCTCCTACGTACCAGACTTCACTACTTCACTTCTTCACTAGCCATACAAGCAGTAACTAGTAAATTCGGTGTGAAAAAGTGGTAAACCTGCATAAAATCTTGGCGCATTTATGAATTCATAAATGTAGCAAGATCTTACAAAAATTCACGGAAAATTTCGTCACGCAACTATGCTTCGTTGACATCACTTATTAGAATTGTCGAGAACCCATCCAACACTGACATACGAACGACATCCGAATTATGTATGTATGTTTACAATGTCCTACTGACGTCTGACTGAAAAATACTATGCGTACACGACGTAATATGACATCTTTAGAATATCATTTTAATATCGGCACTTATGTTGTCTATTCTTTTTTACCATTTATTATTATTATTATTATATTATTTATAGTTATTGACTACAATACCTTTTTGGAACTTTACACGCGTTTAATCGTCAATAGGTTGTTCGCTTTATCTTATTTTCGACATTTTTTAAAAAGTGCATACATTCATTCAATGTTTATTAACCTGTGATCGAACGCGTCATTTCTACCGCGTCTAACTTTCTTCTTTGTGTAATTCCATAAGTTATGTTGCCGTCGAAAAATACTCATAGAACAGCTTCTCGCGGCTTAAGCCATACAGTGAATGTGCCGGTACGTGGCCGATGACCGGACGATCTACCTTATAAGAATATCCTATTTATGTGAAACAAATTGTCAGATGGATGTTAGAAATACATCTTATGAATGACAGGTAGAATTTGCAAAAGGCCGACAAAAAGACATATATTCTTAGGTGGGACAAACATACTTCAAAACGACGTCTGCAAGATGTCATTTGCGGATTTACAGGTGTCTATCGTACGTGAGTAGTGGCGATTGACGACGTCTGTATGACATATTTCTAAAATTCCAGTGTGAGACGTATACTAAAACGTAATAAGAAGACTTTTTAAGCTCATTTCACATTCACCACATAATATTTCCCATTGACACTAAATTCATTAATTCCGTGTAAAGATACGCTAAGAAAATTAATACACATACATTTTAATAATGTGATAAATAAATAACGCGAAAAGAAGCCTTATTAAGTTATATTAGGTTTAGGCACAACACATGTGAACAGTTCACAGAGAATAAGGTAAGTAACGATTCTGGATGAGAACAATTAAAAAAAATTGATTAGTTAGATCTTTCCACTGGCGGACAACATTTTCTTTTTCCTTTATCTATAACCGCTAATCACTAGTACTCATCTAATGTGATAATATACAGCTGAGCATACAGCTGTATGATACTTGAATGTTGGTTGAAAAATAAGGTTACCCATTATCTTATATGCATCATGTGCGAGATTTTAATCATCATTATATCGTTCCATCTGAGATTTCATGATACAAAGTTCGTTTAACAGTTTCACTTTACTTTCAAATTGATACTTATTAATTTTGTGTATTTGTATTATCAATAATATCCCAATTATTACATTAGTTCTCAAATATTTGCAATGTATGTAAACGATTGTAATTATACTTACATAATTTCATTACATTCCTCAATTCATCTGTGTACAGGATTAATTCATAATTTTTCTAATGCATATTTATCACATTAAACAATTGAAACAAATTACAAACAAATATTTCTCTTTATTTTCTACAAAAAAATTTATAAAACCCTTCATAAATTTAATCATAGCGCATATTATCTTCGTAATTGTTACGCAATCCGCCTTCAGCGAATTTTCAAAGTAATCAGTGAGATTAACAAATCTTACGTATGAATCCGCAAAATAATTGCCCTTTTTAATTAGGACGTCTTATATAATACTTGCTAAACTTGTATAATTCTCATGCAGCGTGGGTGCACTGTCTCCTTAATATATATTATATATATATAAAATATATATTCATACATGTATACATACCTACGTATACAATAAAAATAGTCACAATACCGTAATTGTCCCAGTTTGTCGCTTACGTACAAAGCAGATATCACAAGGTAATCCAACGTATAAAAAATATAGAGAGTATCTCAAATAAATGAGTTTTTTCATCATCGTGAAACACCAAATCTTATCCCTGCGATAGTTTTTACTTAAAAGATGTACATAAATAAAGGTCTATATTTATATGTCTATAGTTGCTACATATAGGCACTCGTATCGGATTAGTTAAAAGAAAGTCACGCCCAAACGATTGAATTGAGGAATTGACATACGTAACAGTAGTTTTGATTAATGACTTCTAAAATGAAATATCACTAATATGAATTTCTAGAAAACATAGGAATATTTAATTTAAACTTAGTCTAGTAGAATACAAATTATTCAGATTCATAAAAATGTTCTTATATCCGTTGGATTTTGTAGGCAGCTTGTCAATAATGTGAAAGCGATGTATTGCTGGAGACTTTCGAAATTTTTGAAAAACCTTATGGCGTACATTCCCATTTAAAGACACAATTGCATTACGTTTTACAAGATCCTAATGATCGTCTGAGAAATATAGCAGCAAAGGAAATTCTCTAAAAATTTCATTTTTGATAATCGTAACAATTATTATAACATAATCAGATTCTTTTGGATATTGTTTATGCGAATAATTTAATGGTATTACTTAAATGACTAACTAAACGAGCTCATTAAAAGTAATATTCGCGACTAATTCGTATGCATTCAAAAGATAGATATGGTTAACTAAATTAAATACTAATGAGAATCATCTCGATGATAGTTTTAAATGTCACAGGCACAACGTCTTTTCAAAATCCTATTCTCGGTACATTATATACGTACATGTACTTGTTACTTAGTTTAAAAACATGTTTCATACTCTTTCAAATTAGTCTTACGACCAGCACGTCGATCTTAATTAAAATTGATTTTCTTTGGGCGGTATTGCTTCACTGGTTGCAATACCTACTCGTGTGAAGCTTTGTTTTTAACCATTAAAAAAAAAGGGCAGTCCATTCGTCTGATGTTACTTTGGCGGTGTGTTCGTTAATTTGGTACTTCCAGCTATTACGCCACCCGTGCTAAGTAACAACTCATTTCGTGTATAAGACGACACGATTTCCTCCACAGTCAGGAAAGATTCTTCCTTCTCCTTATAAGATCCCAGTGCATACCTGATTGAAAATGTTGACAATCATTAAATTCTTCTTTGGTTATGGTACAGCGTATACTTATTCATGGTGATCAGAGTACATAGTCAATTATCTCTGATAAACAATTTATTATACTTTTATCGGTACTACTACCAAAGTCCCATACTCTGATTAAAGTTATAGAAATAAATGACGCTTTGTACATGACTCACATTCTTTACCAAGCAATCATCATGTTTATCGCGAGAGCAATTACGCACCATATATTACCATGTTATTGTATGCGTAAGACTCACCCATCATTTAAATACTAATAATTATAGTGCAATAATATACAATTGAACACGACCTTACCTGTTATCATCTCTTTTTCGTACAGGTACATTGTACACTTTATCCTTGTACCAAATCACCAAAGTCAAAGGATTATTAGGATTGGACGAAGATGGTCTTATCAGAAAATATCCATCGGTTGGGTGTCCATCAGGCGCTGAAATTGTATCAAGAAAAAAAATACTTTATTATTATAGCACAACTATCTGCTATAACCTATACTCAGCAAAGTCGAAAATATTATACATAATTTATTAGTGCAGTAATTGAACTTTGCAAAATGAAATACATTAGACGTACCTTCTCGAATAAGTGCATTTGCCTCTTGTCGTGTTACATTATGAAACCACGGTTGTTCCAAGAACGACGATTGTCTATCCGGACGTGGCGGCAGTGGTCTGGTGGCTCTATCAGTCGCCAGAGACGTGTTACTTCCAGAATGTGGTAGAGTAGCAGACTTTTTATCTGGAGAACGTTCTGTGAACAGAAGATTCAAACTGTGGTGATTCTGGATATGAAATGCAATATATTGCGGTTAAAAAAAAATAATATATAAAAGGGTCTTTGGGAGATCCATTGCTTCTGAATAAGTATTTTAGACGTATCGACCCTTAGATGGCCAGTGGGAATTTTTTCGAAATTTTAAAAATCGATATGGCAAAAAGTTTTTCATGTCAGAAGATACACCCCCTATATAACAGACATCATCTTCAAGACGTTATAACGTCTTACGGCCCTTCAAGGATATATTTGTCACGTTTCCAGGATATATTTGTCACGTTTCCAGGATATATTTGTCATCTTGGACATATTCTTCCAGGAAGTCCAGTAGCGAATCATCGCTGATAAGAGGTATTATACATTAATTACACATTGTCGCTAATTCTTATCACGGATACTCTTTTCCTCCGTATATTTCGAAGAAATAGACCGGACTGCGCCTATGAATAATGTTATTTCGTCATTGTTGTTATTACCATTGAAATTGAAAAATTTCAAACTTTAAAAAACACTGGTAGAAAATTATAATTGATCAATTTGAATGGTACATATAATCTGTTGAAAATCACTGGTGCGAATTTACAGGAGTGTGTAACAGTAGGAATCTAAAAATAGGTATGTAAACGCCGGGTTAATACAATACAACCATTATTACAGTGCGTAGAGAATCGTGGCATAGATGAAATACTATTCACGACGCCTCTTACGCCGTTAATATACTAGACGGATACTAACTTGCCAGATTAAGTCGAGCCTGCGTAAGTGTAGCCTGTGTTAAACATTCAGACAGACTAGCCTGTTGACGAAGTGCAGTATTTAAAGATACGTTTCTTTTAAGATTACCCACAAGAGTAGCCATTTCTACTGTATATATTATTAAGGCAATCGAAAGGCAACGTACAAATATTAATCTTAAACATTCGATAGAGAAATATGCAGGAGTATGTCGTCAGTCATGGTTATATTCTTTCTGAACTACAAATTGTCCTCTTTTTTTTAATATTGATTTTATATGGTTGTCGCGTCGTGGAATTAGACACTGGAAAATTACCGCCGTCCGTTACCAATCAAATCTTTGAGTCATAGACGGTACACGGCACGTGGAATTTAGCTCACAGTCGATGATAAAAACAAGTTTTTTTAATGTCCAACTCAAAATTGCGAACTAAAGAAAATAAATGAAACTCCATGCAATGGGGAGCAGCTGTTAACACGGATATGCGTTCAAATGAAACCTCAAGGATTACTGGATGCCAAGAGTTTGAAACCGGATTCAAAAATTGGAAGAAAAAAATTGTTCAAAGTTCGAGCACAAACAGAGCGGAACCGACGTGGAGATCGGTATGGTTTTTGAAACAAGACTGAAACGCTTTTCGAATGCAGGGACGTGTTATTGGGAGAAACAGCGCAGCAACGATCCGGTGGGTCCCTCGGCATGGGGCAAATAATCCCACGAAACGGTTAAAAATATCGTGTTGTCATTTCCCAGAATCCATATATACAAGAAATTTTAGTACTACACTTAACGCCTGTTCGACTTGACCGAAGTGTACTTGTCACTGGAAGTATTAGGAAAAAAAGACTACATGCTCAGGATTCCTTAATTGGCTTTGTCGAAGATATTGGAAGATGCTGAATTTTCTTATTCGAAATTTACAAAGCAACGATGGGCAAGTTTCTCTTTCCTTTGTATATTTAGAAAAAGAAAAAGGAAAATATCATTTCGTAGGATCAGAAAATATTACTAAATGATACATACTCGGATAACCCCGTTATAGATCTTTTAAAATGTTAAGTCTTTTTTTATTTTATTTTATTTTTTTTCACGATATAGTTGTCATGGTACCTTCTTCTATGAATAATTGTTTACCGTATGTTTGTAGATTCACTCATAAATATTTCATGCTCTCCAATTTCTTATAAACAGTTCATTTAATTTTCTGAATATCTTCTCTGTTTATACAATATCATACAAATGAAGCATAATACTCGATAAGACGTATGCTTGTGATTTATATACTGCTGGAGGTATTTCTTTTGGTATCTGTAGATTTTATGTTGATATATATATTTTTTTAAGCAACAGAATTTTATGCATACACGCAATATTAGTTGGACTCGTGTTTCAATGTTTATTTAAGATATGAATCATTTTATTTTTGCATGCGAATTATTCGCAAGTATACCTGGTGGCTCAGGTGGTTGAGAATAACAGCACCTCAGGAGTCCTCTCTTGATTCTGACAATCATGTCGGACACTTCATCACCAAAACGAACTCCCAAACCGCTCAGCAATTGTCTACCGAGTCTTAAGTAAAAGCAGCAACACATACCATCGCTCCGCTTCATTCTCCACTTTCACCCCAAAGAAAAGCATTCACATGCCCCTTGAAATTTCAGGAGCGCACGTTAAATTTTTCAAACATTTTTTCTCTTTATCGCGCGCATATATTCACAAGTGATGCGTTATAATTGACTCATTTTGCGAACTGACCGTCGTAGAGGAAATTGCGGCAGTTTCATTTATAGGTGGAATATGTAACAAGCTAGTTCGCTTGGAAAGGTGGGAACGAATTTAACGTTGTGGTTTCCGGAATCCGTCTGAGTAATGTGCAAAATTAGCTTTTCAATTGTCCTTATACGTTTAGGTCTTAAGAAACCGTCGTACGTTCACTGGGCCATGTGGAGCACTTCGAATTGTTTCTTAAATTCCACAAAAATTCATTCGACAATGATTTTTCTCGTGTCCCGAATTTTCTTGACAATTATCCACCTGCTCAGCTTCCGGCTGACCACAATTTGTCCCGGTGCAGGACAAACTGACCGAGAGGTTCTGATAGACTGAGCAACAAAATAGAAATCTATAGTTTCTTGTCAAAGACTTCGCGAAGGCCGACCTTGTATTATCATCATAATTTATTTCCGCCTGTGTCAAAACAGTTTCACACGCTGGGCTGGGCAAGCTTTTGGAGTAGATCACGAGGATTTCTGACAAGCCAATTCAGCGCAGCTTATGACATTGAACTGTGTGATAATTTTAATTCACGCGTTTAATCCACTCGTGAACGGATTGTCAAATGTCACTCAAGACGTTTCATTCTGCTTTGAAACAGTTTTTTGCTCCCCGTCGATATTTCCACTTGTTAAATCGTTGACGAATCACGTTGACGATACTCTTAGTACCATCGTTGAAAAGTGACTGGCTCCTATGCATCAGGTTGCCTGGGAATTAAAAGTGTCATACAGACTGTACCATTTGTGGTGCATATGTTCCCAACAAGTGAATGGACTTTACAATGTTTTTTGTTCCATCGATTTTGGTTCACAGACCTGTTTTTGATGTTCCCTTTTTATAACGTGGCCGGGCTTACATCCTCTTTGCGTAATAAGTTACAGTGGCACCACATCCACTTTCTCAGAAAATAACATTCCACTTGGCAATACACAGTTCGTTAACATATCTAGAGAGTATCGACTGGACCGTTAAATTAAACATTTAAATTTATTCAACGATTGAACTTGACTTCGCGCTAAAGCAAAAGTGAACTGAAATAGCTTTACGGTTGACTCTCTGCATAATCGCGCACCTGGTGTTCTGATGCGTGATAATCAGCGAGAGACCGATATGAATTCGACAGTGTCGGGTAATGCGCGTTGAGAGACACGGATGAATGGGGGAGGCCTTCCCCTCTAAGGCGCGACAGCTTAGAACCAGAGCTCAAGGGAAACGTGATTATGCCGAGAGCCTCTATAACCAGAGCCGACTGTACTAATGAAAAGTATAATACAAATGGTATATAAGACAGTATAAATAAATTGTACGAACCGTTGTTTTTCTGAGGTCTTGTTAAATTCGTCGTTGGGGACGGAGTTGTGGGTTTAATGGACGGTTTGTTGGGTAACGGTGGCGGGGGTTTTTGCGGCTTGGTTATCGGTTGCAGGTAATAACCATTATCTTCAGGCTGCAGAAAGAACAAATTTTCAAAAATTAATCCACTGTAAAGCATACATTGAATTATTAATTAATTATGAGTGACTATGATGGCCTTGCGGTTATAAATGGTTTGGCGAAAGCGATAGAATAATCGCCCCTGAAGATCTAGTCCTGCTTCATCGTTCGGCTGTGCTTTATGTGCGACATATCATGATTTTTCTAAAAAAAACATCCCTAGTTTTTAATACGATGATGATACTCACAGCCTCTCTTATCGATTCGTATATATAGTCCTCTTCCTCTTCTTCGTAACTTTTTATACTGGATGGCCGATAAACACTCTCCAAAGAACTTTGATGACCACTCATAAGCGACTGTTTACTACCGGCACGTGACATTGATTTTATTTGCTGTTGCTGAATTATTTCGTCGAAGGGTTCGTAGTCGGCATCGTCGTCACTCTCTTCAGTCTTCAATGGTACATTCGCTAGTAGATCTAAATTCTGTATGATTTTCGGTGGCTTTGGATACGATTGAGTTTTTGTATCTATACTGGAAGGTGTTTTAAAATTCCGTTTAGGTTCTGGTGGTGGTGGCACGCTCATTTTTGCTGTAAATTAAAGTTATGGCATGCTTCAGGCTGTGTACGACGGAAATGATAAATGATACTAAATGGGATGTCCGTTTCAATTATTTATACAAGAATTTATCACCGTTGGTGGATATTCGATTTTGTTCTTCATAAAATTAAATGTGTAATATTGCATGAACGTTATATACGTATATATACAGGGTAGGACATTTATAATGACCAGGTCGTTTTTTTTTTCAAAACGAAGTCAGATATACAAAAATCAGATAGAAGTTGTAGGGTTTCAAGGGGGACGGAATTTATTAAATCCCTTCCTGAGTGCAGACGTTAAAACAATTCGGAGATCATCTTTCATCTTTTCAGTGAGATGATTCAATTTTTCTTCCGAAAATCAAAAGAGCATTCAATTTTAAGTTTAACAGTACAAGTACACTAACGACCTTCGAATTGTCTTAAGACCTTAGCTCAGAAAGGAATTCAATAACGGAATCTTCGGTTCTTCTAGAAACTCTACAGCTTGTCTGAAACATTTTTCTATATTTAGCTTTATATCCGAAAAAATCGACCTAGTCACGATAAATGCCCCACCCTGTATATAATTACTTTGTGTTAAATTTTGAACTTCGTTGACAGACTGCGCCCTTGCTGTAACATTATGAAGGAACGACTCCCGCGGCATCTTCTCCGGTTTTGGACCCACTTCTGGTTTCTTAGTATTTCTAATTGAAAATTGTTCCTGCAATTGCTTCACCATTGAGTTCTCTATTCGGGAATGAAGCTTTGATACGTTTTTTTCAGGTAATTTGTTCATTTTGGTATCTGTGTCCGTATCGTAATTCGCATAGGTGTTTTGCTTCTCGTGGTCTTTCTCTTCCTTATGATTCGTTATATCCCCGCAATTTGCATAGAAGCTATCATCTACGGTATGGTTGCTATTCCTTGAAGAACGTTGTCCTCCCGACTGTTCGTTAGGTTCCTTTTCGTTTTGTTGAAATTTAAGTAGACTGTCCCGGAAGTTGATACTCTTTGGAATTATTTCGTTTTGTACACCCATGGTATTCTGTTCGGATTGAACGTCATCGTCGTCATCATCGTCAAACTCTGTATCCCAAGAACCTGTGTCGCTTAGAGATTCCTCGGTATGGGATTCGTTGCTCTTCCCCACAACGAATTTCTCAGGATGTTGATTAAGTTCGTTGACGAATTCCCAAAGAGTCCTGAAAGATAAAAAAAAAGGAGTAAATTTCTTTACTGCGCATGTATTTTTTTTTTAAATATATTCATTTGCATTGAGTGAGTTTTAATTTTAATTTGCCGAAAAAAAGAAAAATTAAATATAAAAAAAATAACGAGAAGGTATATCATGATTTTATTGGGAATCACAAACCATTAAGGTTAGAGGCATTTGTCTCGGGGCCTTATTGCGAAAGGTGACAATGGCTAAGGTCGTGGCCTTCAGCAAGAAAATTTTACGTACGTGAGATGGTTCTACAATATTTCACGTACCATTTAGGCATGCGGCTGATACTTTGACTAGGATTTGCTGTATCGATACCCATAACTTTTTTAATATTATATTCTATACGCAAATATGTCTTATCGAGGTCGAATTCACTTTTTTCTTTACTAAGCATCGTTATTCCTTCGGCATCGTTTAATTGTAAATAATATAAGTTTTAGTGCGATCAGAACAATAAAGTTTTACAAAGCTACGATATAACTGTTCACTATTAAAAAAAAAAACCATCGGACAATTTTAAATGTGTCACAAATTAAATGATAAAGTCCTAAACGTCCATGCGATAAGCGAAACGATTACGTGGTTTTTCAAATTCTTAACTCAAATTACACATGACACTCCTACGCACCCGGATGATTTGGCTCATGTAAATTCTCCAATTGACATATTAATGATTAGCCCACTATCGTGTATTTCGTTAAGAACCCAAAAATGTTCATACTAATGAAGTACATCGAGAAAGAAAGAAACCTTGAACCCGGCTCTCATATGTTAATTTCGTATGTGTACGTTAAACGTGACATTTGAACACGATAATCAGTAAGACCGTTAGGATACACAAATATCACAAGAGAATATCTTAAGAGAATTAATCATCATACTAGCATAAATACGTTCGAGTAGTAACTTTCCAATGAGATATTTCAGGTAAAATACTAAAGACTGTTATTGGCATTTGTGACTTGTACGGGAAGATTGTCCATTACTTTTTTTCTTCTTTCACTTCTTTCACTTACCGTCTCGTTGGCTGCGACAGATCTTTTTTCCACAGGGTCAATTTACTCTCGGTCAAGTGCTACGAGAATGGAAATATATTTGATGAGAAATAGTTCATGAACAAAAGGTTGATTTGTAATTAATCAATGCTCGGACACGCACGGACACACTGCACGGTTGAAGATGTTTTGAAATAAAAGTGTTTATAATTTCATTGGTGATACTATAACGAAAGCAAAACTATTGAAAGAAAACGATGAACTAAAACGAAAGTACGTTAGCAGGCAGTGATTCAGTCTTTGTGATAATTATAACAAGAATAACGATCAAGACAATCGGAGGCAGGTGATCTGTTTAGTTTGTAGACCTAATGGTAAATGAAATGGAAGCGTCATTGGATATAATGTTTTACTTACTAATAACTCATCCCCGTCAATCTGTCGGTTGGCCACCGCAACACAACACTCATCCAGTCCATTCTGCAAAATCAGGGGAATTTTAATCAACAGGATACACGAGCATGAATGAAACGGATACTGATATTTTTTAGTTTACTCATTACTTTACTTTCACTTGTAAAGCATAAGCCTTGTAAAATATAATTTTATGTTTTTAAAAATATAAAAAGTGCGAATAATCAAATGTTTATTAAAAAAAAAAAACTGTTGTAAAAACACTAAAATAGAAAATATCAATAGCAAATTATAAGAGACGAAAGTTGTGCGGTAATCTCTAATTATTGAAATAGAGTATATCATATTCTTTATCCAAGAATCTTTAGAATTTCCGGAATTCTGGATTCCGGTATACGTCACGACGCGCATGACAAGTTTAACAAGAAATAAGTTCATCGTCGATTAAGCCTCTAATAATTTTATTATAAAAACTTTACGATTTCAATCTAGACCACGGATTAATTATTATAACTTAAAATAGTAAACGAAGCATGTTTACATTAATTGCAGTACGTAATAGTGTAGGATTATAAGAATTGGGAGCGGTGCAGTGTAGATTAATATATATAACGAGAAGGCGTTGGCAGAGTTTACTCACCTTTCGCAACAAAGAAAGCACGTCACTGGTACTCCAATTCGAAATCTCCTCGAAGATGTCCTCTCGTGAGATTTGTGACATGGTCCTGACTCAGGTTCGAAAAAAAGTCTCGCACGCGTCAGTGCGTGCGCGCATCTGTGTGCCTTTTTGTGGGCGGAATGTGACAGCTCGCTTTTTTTCCTCTATTCTATCTCTCTTACACTTGAGTCCGTAGTCGCTACTCACTCACTCGATTCACTTAACTCGAGGAAACTCCGAGTGCCATGTTCTTGGGGACGTAAAGTGCTTTCTAACGGGGATTGGTATATTCCCTTGGAATTTTGCCGGCACCTGTCGTATTAAGGCCATTCTTATAACTGGTCAGTGCTACTCCCACTACAAGACTTCATGTTCACTGCGGTGCGCACTGGTTGATGGAACTTTTAAAATGCTTCATCGAGGTTTATTTGCATTCAACAAGAGCAGCCAGCGATGGATATGTTCCACGAGGAACCCCTGTAGAAAAACCATATTAAAGATAGAATATGATAAAGCACTGAGATATTAGATGCGAAAATTCTGAGGTAGAGAAAATAGGGTGTGTGATTAAATACTGAAACAGTTAGCGGAGCCAGAATATTTTTTAAAAAATATACTTACGTTTTTGTATTCTTACCATATACTGGAATGTACTTTGTTGTTTAATTAATCAATTTTTATAAAAAAATTAACGGACCTCTTCATTGTACGTTATTGGGATGGTACTAATCCACTTCCTACTAATATTCCGTTGGATACGACGTTCTATTGGATCTTGACCAAGTAGCCTCGTGTTCTGCTCCGATATTCATATTTGATCTGCTGCCTCCATAAGAGCATTCTCCGGGTTCGCGTAGACTTCAGCCGGTGAAGTAAAGATTATTGATAGTTGGTAATTAATGTCTACTACTTTTTTTGTGGGCAGAACGCAGGAGAAAGGTGACAGAATGGCTGTCACTAACTTAGCTACTGCAGACGAATATAATTCATACATCAAGTAAGTCATTAATTGCATCAAGTTTCTGTAGTAGGAGAATTTATTGCTTTAACCTGTTTCCGTAGAATTTATATCGGTTTTAAGTATTGAAAGTTTTTTTTCGGAGGACAACAGTTCTCGTTATTAATTGTTGAGAATTTGAATGATATTAACGTAACTGAATTGATATTTCGAAATTTAATATCTTATATGTATTTGAAAATATACGCTCTATTGACTTGCAATAAGGTCACGAAGTTAGAAGTTAACACGATTTTTTCAGATAACAGAATCCAGTTTAATTCATATGTTTAAGTGATTTCATGCATTTTTTTTTAATTGTATGTGCTCAGTTGTTCTGAAGTCTTTATTCTTATCGTGTAAGGTCTCCGGATCTGACTGTTATCCACTTCTATGCACCATGGGCTGATCAATGCACCCAGATGAATGAAGTTTTAGAAGAGATGACAAAGGTAGCAGAGTACAAAGGTGTAAGATTTGGAAAGATTGCTGCTGAGGATGTACCAGAAATTTCATTGGCCTTCAATATATCTGCCGTTCCAACAGTTCTTCTAATCAGGAATTCCAAAGTACTTGATAGAGTGGATGGTGCCAATCCAAGTGTCTTAGCACAGAAGCTCAAGCATCAGCTAACTGCTAAGGACTCTGTACCTATTGACATCCCTAAGCCTAAGGAAAATATTGAGATCAGATTGAAGAGACTAATAAATCAAGCACCATGTATGCTATTCATGAAAGGCAACCCAGCAACTCCACGTTGTGGCTTCTCTAGAACAATTGTCTCTATATTGGATTCTTATAAGGCTGATTATCAAACATTTGATATTTTGCAAGACAATGATGTAAGAGAAGGGTTGAAGAAATTCAGTAACTGGCCCACTTATCCTCAATTGTACCTCAATGGAGAACTCGTTGGAGGATTAGACATTATCAAGGAAATGAGTGAAGCTGGTGAACTTGAAGACATGCTACCTAAGAAGGCTAGTGTAGACGAAAGGTGAGTTATCTATATTGCATTTTCTATAACTTCTAAATAATAAGGATAATAGCTATCAATGACAAATTCAATTTACATCGTGGAATTCTTATAATACAATCAACTTTTTATATGGTTAAAAAATTGGATTGAACTTTAGAAAAAATCAAATTTATCTTTACAGGAAATAAGCAGTAATCTTCATCTGTATCGGCACTTTCCTATTTTTTATAGTTACTAATTAATGTATATTATTAAAATATTTGTGGTAATGCTTCTTTTATTTCAATTCAATTGTAAAATAAATTAACTTAATGTGAACGGACTAGCAACGGTTTTAAGAACTTCTTAATCCTGACCATTATTTACTCTGCTATTCCTAGAATCCAGGAAGTCATCAACAAGGGTAAAATAGTGATTATTATGAAAGGCACAAAAACCAATCCAAAATGTGTTTACACAGAACAGATCATGGAAATATTTGATTCTTTGAAGTACATGCATTTCTTCCTAAATTTTAATTTAGTGTATAATTTTGTCAATTTATTCTCTTAATTTTATATTTTTATCATTTAGCATTGATTATGAAACTTTTGACATTCTCACGGATGAAGAATTACGAATTGCTTTAAAGTCTTACGCAGATTGGCCAACCTACCCTCAAGTTTATATAAATGGTGATTTTGTCGGTGGTTTTGAAACAATCAAGGATCTCAACGACAGTCGCGAATTAATATATACATTTAATATAGAATCCTGACGAAATAAATAATAATTGTATATCTTGTACACCGTTCCGAAAAAAAATTCACGTGATTATTCAATTAAAAAGAAAACTGATATTGGGTAGCTCGATTTCTATTTATTCCATCGATACGTAAATTACATTGATGACGTATGTTATGAACATTTGACAACTGATACCGACATGATAATGTTTCTATAATTCACATTCTTCGAATCCTGCCTCATTGAAAAAACGACAAGTATTGGCGTATTTCAACTACATTTTATTCCAACAGATGATATACACCATAGGACTATGTTACTTTTGCAATAGGATAAAACTGTAAAGTCATTTTCTTCATTATCACCTTTTTACTATGAAAAGTACAATGCAGAGAATATCATTTTCGTAGAACAAATCCCAATGACTAACATAAACATTGCCAATTGACTTTACAGTTTTATCACAGCACTCTTTGCTAAAATTTGAATTTCGTTGGCGACTCGTGCATGAGGGATGATTACACTCTAATCCAGTACATTCCACTGCGAATGTTGACATAGTCAGGAAGATTTTCAACTGGACCAACAGCTGCCACAACCGGACAATGATCATAAATGTATTTCATGCCAACGTCATGGATGTTCTTGGCTGTTACGCTCTGTAAAATATATTTAGTTATCAAATATACAGTTCTAGAGATTGCAATTACATAATATGATTACGTACATCTATCCTAGCTTCGAGTTCGTGAAGAGGAATACGGCGATTATAGCAAAGCATCTGGCGACCGATATCTTCGCAAATGGCGGTTGTGCCATCTAATTGGAGGAGCATATTTGTTTTCAGAATATTTTTTGCGCGGGACACTTCCTTTTCCGTAACAGATGTGCAGAGACGCAACCATTCCTGCTGGACTTCTCGTGTGAAATCTTCGCATTGCATAGGGTCACATACGAAATATATTCCCCAGAGACCAGTGTCCTGAATAAATTTAACGATTTTTTTTGTTTCTAAACAACTTATATGTTAGAGCAAATAGTTACCTTGTAACACGTATTGAAGCTTTGATAGCTATGACAGAGCCCATTCTGGGCGGACTCCCTGGCCAAGTTGCTGGCATTATTCATGCCACCACCTTGGCTCCTATCCCAAGCACCCATTAGAGTATTGGCCACCATAAGAGGAATGTTGTCCGCATCAGCCCAACCGGCACCTTTTAAACCATTATGAAAATTGATAAAAATTTCTTCAATAGTGTAAATATTTTAATATACCTTCTACGGCGATGGCAACGTGCGCCAGAGGAATGGTGTCGTCGCGAACACGAATTTCGGAGCCGGTGTAACGGCAGGGGATTAGCAGAGGTGGAATTTCATCATATTGTGGTCCCTTCATTGAACCAAAGTGTTTTTCAGCTAACTCTACTAGCTGCGAGTGTTGTACACCTCCAGCTCCGGCTAAAACAAACCTGCATGAGGGTGAGATTTTATTAATTGTAAATAGTACTAGAAATTCTTTGTTTTAAAACTCTTGTTAGATATAACAAATGTTAATCCACTTGAGGTGGATATGAATTATATTTACCTGGGAGGACCATAGTTATGCTTTACGTATGAGACGAGGTCAGCTCTAGAAATGGACTTGATGTTTTCAGTAGGTCCCAGAATTGTTCTTCCTAGTGGAGTTCCTTGGTATGCAGTTGCATGGAGATGATCAAACACGACTTCCTGTAGATTTGTTTCTACTTCTTGCATTTCCCTTAGAATCACACCGCGTTCTCTTTCGATTTCGCTCTCACCCAATTTCGAGTTTTGGATGATGTCGCTAAGGATTTCGATAGCTTTGGGAACGTCTTGCGAAAGACATTTGGCATAAAATACGGTCTGTTCGCGACTTGTATAGGCATTTAAATGGGCGCCCATGTTCTCAATTTCCAATTCGAGATCTGTTTGGGAACGTTTGGCGGTTCCCTGTGAGAGGAATAATGGAATTTATTTTATTATCCAGTCAACGGAAGATGATTCAAACTTACTTTGAATGCCATATGTTCCATAAAGTGGGCAACACCGTTATTCTTGTCATCTTCACATCGGCTACCAGCATCAATCCAAAGACCAACAGTTGCAGTGGGAGATCCACTATCCTCACTAGCCACACGCAGACCACTGTCCAAAGTGGAGACACGGGTTGCTGGCTGGTTGATGAGTGCTTGTTTCAATGAAGCTGCAGTAGATCTCCATTGCTTTCGAGTCTAATAGGTTTTATTAACAGTTTCGTTTTGTCAATCATTATAATAATCAATAGCAGGTATAGCTAAACTACAGAATACAACTTCTTCTTGAAGTTAGTTGTGGACTGTTCAGTTTTTTGGCAATAAACTCTTCGAAAAGGAGTCGTATTCTGAAATTTTATCACAGGTACAATCATTGACATTCTATAAATACTTTGTTTTTTAAATGTTACATTGATACTTTACAAATAACAAATCATACATTTTGTCTTGAAAAATATCTGATTTCTCTGTTTACTTTGATTAATATCAAGGAAGTTATACTATGCTTCATCTATATGACAATTTTCTGATATAGAAGAAGGTTAAGGAAGACTTGAGGAGTATAGTTACAGAAGTATCAATCACATCTATTTAAGGGTGAGGCATTATCCTATAATATAAATATTTTAAAATCCAAAAATGTGCAAGCTATCTAACGCAATTTCGCTTTTGGGATAGAAAATGCAATAAATTAAATTCATTACGTAAGGGACCCACTGAAGTAGTAACAATTAGTCCTACCTAAGATAAAGTTTGCATATGTCGTAATACCTTATTAAAAATATTGAAATTAAAGAAGAGAATATAAAGAACAGGGAAAATAAAAGAAATAATTGGCATTTTACCTGAATCAGGCTGGTTTTGTCAGAATATGTCCGCAGTGCGGAACTGATCCTCAGCAGACGAGTCGCCATTTTTATGATCAGGCAGCAGAACTCTTGCACCTAACAAACTTATCACGACTACCGCCCTAGTGTAAAATCGTAGAATACAAAAAATCCCTAGAACAAGAGACTACCGTGCATACATTTTTTAAAATTCTCTCAGTTTCGTATAAAACTAAATTTATAAATTTTAAATGAGTATATTAACAATTGCCATGACTTTGATAACAAATTATTAATAAATCTCTGACAAAATGAACTAGAAGAATTCAATTGTAGGTCAGAAAACTAAAACAAATAATGCGCGATTGCTATTGAAACCAAACAGATTATCAATCTGTCACTATCTAAATTTAACAGAGTAACATTTGACAATTAAAAATTATAAAATAATAGTTCAAAGGTTATTATTTGCCAATGAATCTTTTGATGATTCATGAATATCCATATAACGAATTTTCTTGAAATAGTTCACCGACTGACTCGACGGGTGGCTAGTAATCAAGTATGGCCGAGCCGTCGATCAGTAAGGACGTGTGTCGACTCGCGCTGCAATCTAATTTATTTTAATACGTTCGCCATCGTTTGCGGATTATTGTGTCAATATAAAAGAACAAGAGGGAAGGCTCAGGAAAACGGAGAAAGTGTTGTCAGCTCATGTAGTAAGGCAGAAATCGAAAAAATGGCACCGACGCGAGTGATCCTGATGTCGTGTGGAAGTTATAACCCTCCAACGAATATGCACTTACGAATGTTTGGTACATATATGTCATTGTTTGCAATCAATATCGAATTCTGTTTCAAACGCAGCTTTTGAAACATTGCGCAATTTCAATTATTTCACACTTGCTACGATATATTATGCTTCCCTTTTATCAACGCTTTGTGTTGGCTTTTCCTATATTGCTGTTTTCTTTTGTGTGACTAATATTTTTTTCATATGTGCTTTTGATTTCCTGTATATGAGATCATTCGTCGTGTTTACTCATGACGTATAGTTTATTGATTTTCTGTTATAATAATATTATATAAGACTCAGAATTATTGGATAGTCTACTAACAATTTTTATAATTTGAAGCATATATGCTGAGTAGCATGACTACACTTATCATTTCTGTTATCAGCATAGTAATAATGACTTTTAAACAATATGGTTATGACAAGTATCTGTTGTACTTTTCTTATTTATATTAATTTATTTGTATCGTAAATTTGTTGAATATGCATTTACTTTGTATCTAATATTTTTTGCTCTTTTGACATTCTTGTAAAACCATGTACTGTTTTTTTACAGAAATTGCAAGGGACCATTTTCATAGAATGGGTACGCATATTGTGGTGGGTGGAGTTATTTCACCCGTACATGATGCTTATGCAAAAAAGGATCTAGCAAGTGCAATGCATAGATGCGCAATGTTGAAACTAGCATTACAGAATAATGACTGGATTCGTGTTAGCAGCTGGGAAACTAGGCAAAATGCGTGGATAAAAACGCGGATAAGCCTTCAGCATCACCAAAATCTGTTAAACGCTATTTTATTTGATACCAATAACATCAAGCATCATACTGAAATTGAGGACTTAGAGTGGATACCAGAAAATGTTAAAAATAGCTCTGATCGTAGTCCAATTCAAATAAAATTGCTCTGTGGTGCTGATCTTCTAGAGAGCTTTGGGACTCCTGGTCTTTGGGCCGATGAAGATGTTAGTTGTTATTTTTGTGACAGTACTTATACAGTTTACCACAGCAATTAGACCTTGAACATATTGCGAAGTTTAAACCTGTAATATCTTTCAGATCGATGCTATAGTTGGTCAGCATGGTCTAGTTGTCATAACTCGAGAAGGCTCAAATCCAAATAAATTTATATATGACTCTGACATACTTTCCAAATATATGGTAAGTTATTTATTTCAAATTTTCATTGAAAAACACTTTTTTACTCGTACTATCCCTTATATCTAACATGCAACTACTATTATATCATTTTACATATTTTAAAAAATTCTCCTCAGTACAACATCCACATTGTCACTGAATGGATACCGAATGAAGTTAGTTCGACGAGAATACGAAGAGCATTAAAACGAGGTGAAAGTGTAAAATACCTCGTCCAGGATCTAGTCATCGATTATATTTACAAACATGGAATATACAACGTAAAGTCCACGTCGACAATGTGAGTTTGAAATATTTTAGTTAGAAACAGTAGCTAGAAAAATAATACAAAAGTGACTTAATTGTTTTTCTTTACAGTAGTTATTAAGGGAGTTATAGATTTTTGTATATTTTATATGGAAAGGATATATTTTTATAGTAATTTTAGTTCCTTATAGCTGATATTGTTTTAAGTGGTCTGGAAAAAGGCCAGATTGAGTCTCAAAAATGAAAAGAGTACTAAAAGTGCATGGATTTGAAATGTTACCAAAGTATTATCAGTTACTTTCCACGGTAATGATGAGTTTAAGTGGTATGATATTCCATTAGTCTAGTCTATTTGTGTCTTCCATCACAATATTAAAAATCTCGAAAGCTGTACAATGATCAATGGACCAATCATAACAGAAGGTTCCTATGTTCCAATTATGAATAAAATTTACTAAGTTTTATCTCGCACAATTTTATTCTTCGCTCAAAGCACTACAGTAAGAAATTTCACTGTCGATATCACATTTTTGCACCCAGGACTATAGTAAATAAAACTAATATAGTATGTGTTAGTGAAGTAACTTACAAGTCACGTTTGAGCCACATAACAATGAAAAATGGTATCTTGTTTCATGCTGCCAATTCTTCGGATGCTAAAGTAAGTTGGATCTGTCTTTGAACAATGCAAACAATTACTTACACATTGATCCTAAATACCAAAACGCATTTTTAACACCGTCGCCAAGCGACATTACCATGGAATCCCCAAGTCCCATCGAGATCATATCAATCGATGTTCCTGATTCCGTTCTGAAGAAGAATCTTCAGAACACGCCGAGTTTCACCTCGATCAGACTCGGCAGCCTCGAGGATGTTGAGAGTGTGCGTGAGAAATTCTTTAGTGCCATATCTGAGAATGGAAACAAACTTTTACCCACGCTAAAGATTGCCTGTCCCGGTCAGGCTAAGCAGATTATAGCCACCGAGACTGGAGAGTCTCAAATTTTGAACGAGGTAGGTCTCAGCGAGGATGCCAGGGCGACTGTATCTCTTGCGGAAAATATAAAAACGTGTCAAAGTCAAGAAAACGAGAGTTGCTTAGGTGTGGACGTCATTACAGATGACACTTGTGAAGTCCTTGTAGATTTGCATGATCCTAATGTATCTGAAAAATCTTTGAGTAGTGAGATCGTAGCGATTCTAGAGGATCAGGTGGACCCTAATTACATTGGATTAGAGATAGATATCGTTGACAAGGATAGTTTTGAAGCTGACTCGAAAAGCTTTTACGAAGATGCGCGCGACGATCGTGAAAAATCTTCAGATCTTGAAAATGATCGTTCTTCCACTGATGGGCAGATGCTAGATCGTAAGGATGACAGCTTTTGCGAAACTATTGAGGAATTTGATCCTGCTCAAGATCAGTTTCCAAATGAAGTTTCACCCAAGAGTTACAACCATACTCTAATCAATATTATACCTGCTAGTATTATATGCTCAGACATTGAATTTGATACGAATAAAAATCTTGATAAGGATATCACTTTGGAAATTGATTTAAGTATGGATTCGATTCAGTTGAAGAATAAGAGTCTTGTAGATGAGAAGAATGAACGTTTGGACGTAATTAAACTTGCCGACGGAAGCGCGACGAACACCGAGATAAACGAAATAATATCAACAAATCGTGAAATTAATACCGATAAAAATTTAGAGGTAAAGGTAGAGGCGTTAAACAAAGAGCATGTTATTGAGAAGGATATAGTAAAAAGTAATTTGAATAGTGATAATCCCGATATAGATGGTAAATACATAAAATCGTTAGTGAATTTACGTAAAAGCCCCAAAAAATTAAGAAACAAGAGCGCAGATGAAATAATGATAGTCAATGATATCGGAAAAGTATCTGATAACGATAACGTACTTGTAAGTGATAAATCCACCATAACGGAAAAACTATACAGCGAAAAAGAAACAAGTACAACGGACTCATGTTCAACTTTAACAAAATCAAACTCAAAATTGGATCATACTGGAACTAAGCGCACGGAATACCCGAAAGACGCTACAAAGACAAACAGTCTGAGAAAAAGAGAATCTATCAAAGAAAATTTGGAAAACAGTCAACGTCAAAATTCAATTCTACAAGGCAGCTTGGACTCCATTAATATCACCGCTTCGAAGGCATCTAATAATTCCACAAGTTTTGAATCAGTTTCCAAAAAGTCTAAAAGCTTCGAATCAATTAAGCACAGCGGCTCGAAATCCTTGACGTATAGGAGTTTCGAAATTTCGTACAGTGACATTTTCAAACTAAAATCCGACAGTACATCGCAATTAATCACTGCGAATAATTTTGACGGCCAAAGCGACGAATTTTGCACGGAATGTTGCTACGCAAACGATCCGTCCTTAAAGGAAGGAAGTTTGAATCAGGATTTACTTTATACACTAAGATCAAACGGTAGTTCACCGGTAGATGAGGATTCCACGGAATGCGATATTTGCAGCGCTTGCGATCTTCAAGATACTGGGGAAGTTTCTAATTACAAAACCACGGATCCAACTGGAACAGGTTGCGAATTGTGCGAAATTTGTGGCGAGGCCAATGACGATTTTATAGGAGAGAATCTACTCTTATCAAATAAGGAACCATTGAAGGATATTTTGGAAACGGGTGTAGTACCTAATAGAAAATTAGCATTGAGTTTACTAAAGGACACTTCGTCTTGTGGGGAAAAGGTACGACTCAAATCTCAAGCTAATGATAGTTTCGAGATTGAAAATTGTGGCGTGGACTATATCCATACTTTAAAGTCAGACAACGATCATTTCGAAATTGAAAATTGTGGCGCTGATACAGACCTGAATGGATCTGCCGAGCACGCTAGGTGTTACGAAAAAGAAAAGAAAAATTGTAATATAAAAAAATCGGATTTACTCAATGATAAATTGAACTTTAACACAGCCGAGGAAAGTATGCGAAATCTTAAATATTTTATGCCCAAAGATGAGGTGGTCATGATGTCCAGAGGAAACAAGAGATTGAGCAGAAAGGGTTCCTTCGTGCAAAAGGGCACCGTGGACCACGATCAAGAGAAAAGAAGGTACTCATCAGTGGACAATTTGCAGTACCAGTCAAAACAATTCCTGAAAACATCTACCGAGAGCAAGTTCCTCAGGTCAAAGGGCACGAAATTGATTGCCTCTGCAGATAATATTCGCAGTGACAGTACGAGAAGCAAACGCGGCAGACGATTACAAAGATCAGCAGATGATATTGGAAAATTTGACTCATCTGCCGATAATTTAGACTCCCTGGACGAGAGTCTGGATACTGCTGAGGATGAAGATGCTGGAGATGAAATTAATAATAGGAAAGCACGTGACAACGACATGGTTAAGATGATTCTTACTAAGCACGGTATTAAAATAATAAGTGAGAAGGAAACGGTTCTCTAATTACGATCAATATAATTAATGCGTTATCGTTATCATAAGACAAGTCATTAACATCAAAGACAAATTTACTGATATCATGAATCTTAATAGTTCAACCGAAGATATCATCTTGATCTGTACGATGAAAATATGAAATATTCTATAGTTATCAGAATGAATCCCTCATCTTTCGTGATGATTTATCAATGATTAATTAAAATTTTGATCAATATCAACGTAAAGATCATTACTTATTAGTATATTACTATATCTCAATCATTATTCCATCACGAAAGACCATCCAGTTGTATTAACATTTTTGATAACTATTTTCGTGCCAATACAACACTGATGCATAATAACAATATATATTTAACATACGTCTAATGCATCAACACCGGGATGGAGACTGTCATATGTTGATATGAATTATTACAACATATCACAGTACTGTTAAATGCAGTTTTCCTCTAACCGAAAGTACGTTCACGTCGAACGCGAAGAAACAGTCAATAATTAATAATGAATTAAAATGTTAGATTGTTCATTCTAATTAATGTAACATAGATATATTGCCAAAGTGCATGCGATCTGTCAATGTCACAGGCACGTGTTGTGTGCACATGTGAATCAAGTCGTTAAGACAATCTTACGGACATACACAGCCTGTTCACGTATATGTCGTTGAAATTTAAGAAAACAGTAATAACCGAAAATAATTTATGACAAATGTTAAACACACTCAACCGCGACGCATCTATTGAAAATATAATTCATTCATGTCGCGGTCGGGTCAGTGTTCAACCGTTAGACTGAATTTCTATTGAAACATGATATTTAGGGAAAGCTTCCAAAAATGTTAAACCGTTAGATAACTCGACGACTCAATGGTTGATGTATTAATTATCTAAGCCACAGTAAGATGAACATTACGATCTAAACGCTTCCCAATTTTGCTATTATTACAATTAGCATTTATAACATGAACAAATTCTGACAGTATTACATTCCAGTATGGGGATGCGTACGGACTTCGATCAGATTGACAAATGTGGATATTATTTAGTATTGGTGCTATTATTACATACTTGCTATAGATATACCATTAAAACGTAAATGCAATTGTATTTAATGCGTACATCGAAATCTTCGCGCAATCCCAAACAAGTCCAAATTCTTTGATACAAATCATGATACACGCTAGTTACTATTAAGATAGAGGATAGTGACTTTTTGTTGTTAGCAACCAATTTTTTTTTTAGTGCATGCCCTATTACGCACTATAATAATTTCACGCTTGAGGCATCCTTCTTAGACATGTTTCGACCCTTTGTCGTTTTACTGTCAGCTTTTTAGCAGCGTTTCAAGTTATTTACTTTGACGTATAGTCGTTACCTTTTTATAGGTGAAATTTAATGGGAAAATACAATATTTTCAATACAAATTTATAATGACATTGAATGATTTATCGAATCGATGCAATTTTAGTTAAATAATATAAAGTTCCTATTTCGTTTCGATCTTTCCAAAATAAAATTCTCTTCCAAATGATCTCGTGAGTGGCACTCGAAAAAAAAAAAAAAAATACTATTTTATAACCCATGTCGTAAAGACAGTAATAATTTACTTCCCGTAAATCGAAATGATTTTAGATTTTATGGGTAGTAAGCCATAAATTATTTTACGCTTTGTCTATTGTTGCGCGCGTATTAAGTTCCTTCTGTGTCTATGAATTTTCTCATTAATAGAGAAAAAAATCTTCTGGCCTACGTAACTTCTCCCATGCAATCGTAAACTCGTCCGTTACACAATTTACTTTATATCCAACAGCTTATGGTTTAACGTAAATTTAGTAAATCGATTTACAGTATAATGATTTTATAATTGTTAATTTTGTGACCTTATCAATAATATATAATTACACCTACGCCGCTCTCGTATTCACGTGAATTATCTTTCCCTTAGTTTCTTTAACACCTCCCGTCCTGGCTCTTCTCCTTCGAGTAATATAGTACATACATACATACGTCTAATACATAATTATATTGGCACGATTGCGTAGGAGAAGTTGACGCGTGGTTCTGTTCTGACGCAGCATGTGATATGTGTTTTCCAGGATACGGCAAAACCTGCATGCCTACTGTAAGACAGATAGTTGACTGTCTTGTCGCTGCTCGTCCCATGCCCATCCGATGCGGCCCCTGTCTTACCGCTAACCATACTAACCACGCTACTAACAAACGTAGTAGTAACGACTCCGATTGCGTTAGTAGCACGGCTAACCACAACAACAACAACAACAACAACGTACACGTCTTCGATAACCAAAAAGATCTTAAAGCTATAGACAATACTATTATCACCTACGCGACGGCATATGGGCGCGATTCATCTAGCATAGAATTTTAGGCTGGCTCTACATGACGATTCGGAAATCATTTTTTATTGTTGCCAATTTTAATATTATTACGAGATATTTATTTTTTCATTAGTACCTTATTATCTATTGGTAATAAACGTTTAGGGATGTTTTTGAAAATTATATTAGAAACGCTTGATACTTGGCAAGTAGATTTTTTTTAAACGTGTTAACCAAAAATTATTATTGTGTGCATATATCGTGTAGTGCAACATTTTGCTTATGGTGTTTCCTGTTGTGTAATACATGGAATTATGTCGGAGGATTATTCGCTGTTGTCCTTTTTTTTTTATTGTATTAGATTATTTAAGTCGTACGAGATTCATGTACGTGTTCGGATTCTCTTTGGAGGCAGTCTGAAATTTCTTTTTCGTGTACCTAAATAGTCTTTTTTTTTTTTTTTAGGAATTATGGTTTAATTGTTTCGTAATTATAGAAGCCATAGAGGTGAAATTTGCGGCGAAATGTTCAAGAGAGACGTGGTGAACGGTGCGATTGGGATAGGGAGATGCGCAGGATGCTGATGAGAGATGATGTATTTATTTTGTATACTGAAAAAGATAGGCATATATATATATATGTATATATTGATAAATATTTTCCAAGAATGTTAGTAAACTTTATAAACATTTTTTAATAGCCAATCCCGAATCACTTTGTAGATTCATTTTAATTAGTTATTATAATTATGTCAGCGGGAAAGGACATGTTATTGTTTTATTCAAGGGAATGCACACCGTTTGCACGTTACCGATAGTTTAGCACTATTTTGTACTAAACCAATGACTATACCGAGTGACCTTGAAATTCCTTATCAGTATCACTCTGTCTAACTAACTCGTTCTCGGATTTTCGATATGAACTAGAATCGAATCTCTGCGTTCGAGCGCCTAGCAAAGTGATGCAGTAGCCTATGATACTCTTTAACTTTATTTAATCAACAGTAGAGAGTAGAGATAGTGCCAAAAAAGCATTTTCAAGATTTCTCCTTAAAACCAACCGAATGGGTTTATAATGCTTTTTTCTTCTGTAGCACAAACAAATTAATTTTCCTAATCATTCCAACAGTCTACCTTTTTTACGCATGAGTGTGACAAAGTCGCCTCCAGACACATTTTTTCAAGCTAGGATTTTTGTTTGAAATCACATCAATGTATTTATTCTAATACTGTTATTTTCTCTATTTTTAGTTCCTTGATTATTCCTATGATTCAATTATAATAAGTTATGGAATTGATCCGCTGGAGGCATTGTTTTTTTTTTTTATGATAAAAAACTAATTTTTTATATATTAATACTGCCTCCAATTTTTCAAAAATCTGTCTAAAAAATATCGTACAGTGGTTACGCGTGTCAGAATATCTAAGTCGCGTCTGCGCCTTTGCTTTGAATTGTTATAATGACGCCATATAAATATATATGTATACACACATGTTTAGTTTACACAGTATATATGTTTGTACGATATATAATCAGTTAGTATATATACATGACGTATTATATTATATATTATATACGTATATGAAATGTTTAAGAAAAATATGTACATGACAGAGGAATAAATTTGTGGTTGGAATTACCACGTTTAACCTGACTTGTATATACACGATATGAGTGCTGAAAATGATTACGAATAATTAATTATTTTCATTTAATCCTTGATTAATATTTTTATAGAGTTCATGGAAGAACGAGGTTTTTCAGCCTGTCAGTTAAACACTGATCTCTGAGTCACGTTGATATCGGTATGCCTGCACTTGATTGATTATGATCACATAACTCTGATTAAAAAGTCGTTTAAATGATACGGAATCGCATTTATTTTTCATATACAATGTATTTACACCTTAGAAAAAAAAAAGAACAAAGAAAACATTGCTTACGTCTATTGCAATTTATGCTATATGCCAGAAGGATAAACTACATTTACATCAATATACATATTTTATATCGTTAATAAGTTTGGACGGATACTGGTTGTCTATGCCATTTTTTTCCTTTAGCGAATTTCAATTTACGAAGAATCTCTTTAAATCGTCTGAAGTTTCGAGAAAAATCGACTAACCCACTCACTCAGTATTATTTTCTAGACATATACAATACCAGATGCGTTTGTCGTTAAAAATCTAATCACGTAAATCATGCGCAGTATTGGCATTTGCAATAATAAAAGTCATGAAGTTTACTAGTGCTAGCACGTACTTGGAAACAATGGAGTATACAAGAGATTGAACTAAACTCGAGCCCCGATCAATATCTGCCTACAAATATTTTCTGACTAGAGAGTAACAGCATTTGGATCTTCGGCTTTTTAATTTATATGTATAGGTATACTCGATTCACGGCTCCTCAATAATTTTCGTCCGGAATCAAATACTAAAACCATCCACGGATTTCTGACGACGAACAGAAATTTTCCAAGCAAGTCTAGCGTGTCCACATTCACGATATTCGTTAATAATTTTTTTTTTTCTTGTCATAATAACTCGACAAACGTAAAGGACATTGTCACCGTAAGATGTAAAGACCCTGTTTGGATAGCATTCACTAAGATTATCGTTCACTTCCATTGGCTCTTGATTCAACGAAATATTTATCTGCTACGTATCATCATGTCTGTACTATTCGATAAATTGATCTCTCATCGATAAAACCTATCGTTAGCATACGGTTTTAGATCTGAGACCGAGTACACATAATATTAAGAGACCCAATGTCCAGCCTAGGGTAACCAGAAAACCATGATAAACCGTTGGTTCATCCATTGTGTAACCTTTATCCAATAATCCTCTTAACGCTATTCCTGGTACTGTTGTTGGCAGTGATAGGCTTATCCAACGAAGAAGTCTTGGCATACCCTCCACTGGCCAGATGCAACCTTTTTGTATTTAATGATAATAATTTTATTCAATTTGAATTATTCAATTACTTTTTTGTTAAGACTTTTAAAATTCTTACCACAAAGTAGAATGACAGGATAGAAACTGCCTGTGGCTATGTAATTTGCTAATGTGTGAGAACTGCACATGATCGATATGAAGAATCCTGAATTAATGTAATCGTATGTCAGTTCGTTCAATGTATTATACATTTAATGGTAATTCTTATTTTACATATTGTTTACTTGCCATAACACATGCCACATATGCCCATAAGCAATAGCAACGATATTACTGCCATCATCGATCCTTTGCATTCGAGTTCGAATTGGACGATACTGATTGTCAGTGATACGGCGACCTGGATGATGACGACTGTCCCTTGGGTCAGGATATGAGCGATCAGAATCTGCACTGTCGTCACTCCTAATGGTCGAAGATCGTGTATATTCAAATAATAGATGTAGTTCCAAAACATTGAATACTTGGTAATTATTGACTTTATGAAAATAATTATTTTGACCTAATAGCGACAGTCAGTGCTTATGAACTTTTTCAAAATGTCAAACATTTACAGAATTTTTGCATTATTCAACAGCTGAACGGTACACGATAAACAGTATGTTATGGTTGATTGGTATCGAACGGCGGCGAATTTGAAAAACAAAGCGGAAGTAAATACTGACAATCTTTCTAAAAATAGCGATTGTTTGCTCACTAAGCAGACGCAAGATAATGGGTTGATAATTAAATCCTAAAAAAAACTTGTTTTTGCAAAATTGCTACGTCGAGCCCACTTGTCACTCGGGTGACTTTCAATACTCGAATGAGATTTTAAGTATCGATAGTGAGAGAGTGAGTAAAAACAGTCTGGAATTATATTTTCTCTTCTTTGAGGACTTTACGTAAGAATGCAATTTTGTATATTATGGGTAATTTTTAAGATCAATAATTATTATCATCGATATTTTTCGGATTGTTTCTATTATTGAAATTGTATGCAAATTGTCTGTTACCTTGTACTAGACTCCTATCCCATACGCCTTCGTGACGGTCCGCAATGATTATCGAGGAGGACACAGACGTCATCAAGAAAAATACTACACTGAAATATTAAAAATGTATTGTCTTCAATATTTCCCGCAAGCTTAACTTTAATAGCAATATACAGGAGTAAGGATACTTACGTTAATAAAAAAACAGGCGCCATGAAGGTTGAATATTTTGGATCCTTCGTTCCGAACATAGGATTTTCAAACTGATGAGAGAAAAAAATGAAATATTTTGTTAAGTATCTACGAGTAGTCTGACAGAAAATATATTGATAGGTACCTTGATTGGTAAATCCGCGTATTTCTTTGCTATATTACAGGTGGAAATGATATCTTGGAAAATTTCGAAAAAACGATCGAACAGTTTCTTCTTGACGTGTAGGCCAATTTGCCTGTCTGAGAGGGAAATTAATTTGTGTAATTTCATGGATTTTTTGTGATATTAATTATTACGTAATTATCACATACTTCCCATATCCAGCCAGATTTGTATTTCACCTTCCAAAACTTCCTTTTCCGTAATGTCCTCCTCCCTCAACCAATCATAATCCCGCCTTCTTTGCAAAGCTTGCGAAAAATTGGCACCAAAATACATAAATCCAACGATCGTGCCCTTTTTCACAGCCTCGTTGGCATCCGTCTGGGTGTTATAAAATTTCTAAATTGGCAACAACAGAAGAATAATTATTGTTAACAGATTTTTCATTACGTGATATCGTAATGTGAGACATTTTTTACGACTCGTTACCTTTTCCGCGATGGAATCATTGAATTCGCGTATAAATCGACAACTCAGGTCGATGAAATCACAAGTAAAATTATTCGGCATGTATACGACTTGTCCGACATTATTGCCAAAATCACAGTTTCCAGCTTCTTCATTTACAACTCCAATCTGAAGTCCACGAGGATCGCCTCCAATGGAATAAAAGAAGACACACACCTGGATCATCGGAAAAATCAGGGCGAATAGAATTCCCCTGAAATAAGGTAATCGCATTCACTTAATTGTATCCTTGTACGTAGAATTAGACGTACGTATTAGAAACAGCTGAAGAAAATAATACACTTCGTTTACGTACCCAGGATGCCTTGCGAATTGCAAGATATTCTTAATCATAAGAGCTTTGAATTTCTTCCACGTATTACGTTTTATTTTTCGTGGATTCGTTTGGTCCTCCGTCGTGCTTAATATTACTTTTTCATTTTTCTCGTTGTTCTAAAAGCAAAAAATAAATATTATGGTAAAATTGTATTTTTCAAAAATTTTCACAACGATCCTATAAAAAATTGACTCATACTTACATCCGTATTACCGTGAATTGCAGGTGACCGAGTTGCGCCGGAAGTGTGGATCTCTTCTAGTTCCGGAAGCATTTCTGTGGAGCCATCGGTAATTCCTAAATCCTGACGTTCCTTCTGCTGCTGACTGAGTGTCAGAAATGCCTCTTCCAGAGTGTCGCATTGGAAACGTATCAACAACTGACTTGGCGTAGATTCTGCCAGCAATTGGCCACATCTCATCAGGCCGATCTTGCATTGAAAGAAATAGCCTTCAATTAACAAATCAATTGAATAAAATAATCCTCAGGTATCAGATCCAACTATTCTACCTTATTAGCCTGTTTGGCTTCTTCTATGTAGTGCGTGGTGATAACAACCGTGACGCCATCCTCCCGCGTTATTTTCACTAAAAAATTCCAAATGCTGCAACAAATATAATTCTCTGTCAAGTTCAGAATATTTATCATGCACTAACTACTAGTGAACAAATTTTACGTTCTATTGTGTATCTAAAAAATATACTTGCTTCTCACAAAGCACAGGATCCAGGCCCACTGTCGGTTCATCAAGAATCAGCAACTCCGGCTTATGGACCAATGCTGCTGCGAACGAGACTCTTCTTTGCTGACCGCCACTCATATTCTTCACAAGACGATTCTTCGGAGGAAGTTGAAGTAAATCCGAGAGGAACTCGTATCTCTCTTCTGGAAGATCATAGGCGATTTTACATTTCGAGTATTACTATGTAATATTCATATAATTAATTATCCATTCAATAATATTACGCAATCCACAATAATTAATGGTTAAACAAAAAATTGAATGCGGACGTATGCATAATTCATCCGAGGATAATCGCAGAACCGAAGTAAAGCTGTAATACCAGACTGAAATTTACATAATCATTTAGTAGTGAGAAACGATATTCATATCTGCATGACTTCAAAAAATTACCAATAACGTCATCATTAAGCCCGTTGATTCTGCCGAAGTAATAGAGAGCACCCAGCACTGTAAACTCCTTGACCAGTGAAATTTCCTGCGGCATATAACCAACCCTCGGTCCTGGAATTCCTGATCCTTCGGTTCCAGGCTTTCCTCCGAGCACCCATATGTCACCACTGTCCAATTTCCGTACACCAACGACACATGAGAGCAAAGTAGTCTTGCCGCATCCACTGGCACCCAGAAGTCCGTAACTGAAAGCAACAAATGATATCTTAGCATTCGTAACGAACGGAACAAATTGAAATTGCTTTTTTGGATGCACAAAAATGAATTTTTCATGCAATTCGACCAGAATTTTATAAGGCCTCATAACTGTCAAATAATTCGTTATCATATACGACTGATATTAAAAAATCTCAAGACGTTGAACAATCTTCGTAGCGATAGATTGTAGCGAGAAATAATTTCCAGTTTATCCATGGTCTAATCAGAGCTTATTCACAGTGGGCATGCGAATAATGTGCTCTTTGTTCTGGATAATGAGTAACAGTTTCGCTTCGGTAAGTTTTGATAGACTTGCGGCATCTAGTGCCAAGATAAAGTCTGATCCTTATGAGACATGAGGTTCAGTTATTGACGAGAAGATGGAGGCGCGCGTTCTCACTCGATATTTCCTTCTGGGTCATCTGGCATTTATGATAATAAATGGGCAGCCGATACTGGATTCACTTTACATCCTTGGAGACGATACAGTGCACATCGATTTACGTGCCACGAAGGATCTATATGGTCTGCAGGAGACGCAGTTCCTTTTGAAGACAATACTCGACGTCAATGATCTTCGCGACGTTGTGAAAATAATCGCTGAACGGCATCGCGATAAGATGAGCGTCGACTACTCGACCTTCATTCACCGGGAGAATTTTAGCCGCAGGGAAAACTATGCCGATAAGAATAATGAAGACCTCGTATCGGATTCCAAATATAGTCGGAAGAAAAGTAACATCACTAGGACGAATCAATCTACTGGAAATTCGCATCAAGAAGAAGTCAACGGTGGTAAAATGAAAAAAAGTTCTTCATTGCCGCTTTCGGATCGCATTAATAACTTTTTAAATATGGTCAATGGGAAACTTGGAAAAGATGAAAAATCTGATCAAATTCAAAATGCCAGGAGAGCTGATCACAGAAGGTTCGAAATTACATTAATTCGCGAAATTTATAATTTAATAAGAGAAGCTTTGAGTTTAGTCAAAACACTACCGGAGAAGAAGAAAAAGATCGTGGAAGATTCTTCAAATATCATCGAAGAAGATGATAGCAGAACAGACGGTGCACATTACCATGAGGATGTTATGGATGGATTATTAAATTTGTATGGTGACACGAGGATTCTTTATCGGGAAATAGTAAAAGATTTTGAATTACGGAATGGGCGTAAGACATTATTAATTTCGAGTTATTATTTACGAAATTTGTTTGACATCTGGAGACGGAGCCAGCCTTCCGAAAATCCACCTATATATAGTGAAATGGCTGCTAGAAGGAATTATGAAGATTTTGAGAGATACAATACTCAATTAAGTGACGATACTACTGGTACTACTCGTATGCATAAGCAGGATATTGTGGCCAATGAGACAGCAGGTCGTTCTGGATTTGATCACTTATGGAATTCGACAAGTAAACAATCGAATAAAAAGAATCATCCTGATAATTCAGCATCCAACAATAGGATCAATGGGAAACTTAGAAAAGATGAAAAATCGGATCAAATTCAAAATGGCAGGAGAGCTGATCAAAGAAGGTTCGAAATTACATTAATTAACGAAATTTATAATTTAATAAGAGAAGCTTTGAGTTTAGTCAAAACACTACCGGAGAAGAAGAAAAAGACCGTGGAAGATTCTTCAAATATCATCGAAGAAGATGATAGCAGAACAGACGGTGCAGATTACAATGAGGATGTTAAACGTCATCATTAAGCCCGTTGATTCTGCCGAAGTAATAGAGAGCACCCAGCACTGTAAACTCCTTGACCAGTGAAATTTCCTGCGGCATATAACCAACCCTCGGTCCTGGAATTCCTGATCCTTCGGTTCCAGGCTTTCCTCCGAGCACCCATATGTCACCACTGTCCAATTTCCGTACACCAACGACACATGAGAGCAAAGTAGTCTTGCCGCATCCACTGGCACCCAGAAGTCCGTAACTGAAAGCAACAAATGATATCTTAGCATTCGTAACGAACGGAACAAATTGAAATTGCTTTTTTGGATGCACAAAAATGAATTTTTCATGCAATTCGACCAGAATTTTATAAGGCCTCATAACTGTCAAATAATTCGTTATCATATACGACTGATATTAAAAAATCTCAAGACGTTGAACAATCTTCGTAGCGATAGATTGTAGCGAGAAATAATTTCCAGTTTATCCATGGTCTAATCAGAGCTTATTCACAGTGGGCATGCGAATAATGTGCTCTTTGTTCTGGATAATGAGTAACAGTTTCGCTTCGGTAAGTTTTGATAGACTTGCGGCATCTAGTGCCAAGATAAAGTCTGATCCTTATGAGACATGAGGTTCAGTTATTGACGAGAAGATGGAGGCGCGCGTTCTCACTCGATATTTCCTTCTGGGTCATCTGGCATTTATGATAATAAATGGGCAGCCGATACTGGATTCACTTTACATCCTTGGAGACGATACAGTGCACATCGATTTACGTGCCACGAAGGATCTATATGGTCTGCAGGAGACGCAGTTCCTTTTGAAGACAATACTCGACGTCAATGATCTTCGCGACGTTGTGAAAATAATCGCTGAACGGCATCGCGATAAGATGAGCGTCGACTACTCGACCTTCATTCACCGGGAGAATTTTAGCCGCAGGGAAAACTATGCCGATAAGAATAATGAAGACCTCGTATCGGATTCCAAATATAGTCGGAAGAAAAGTAACATCACTAGGACGAATCAATCTACTGGAAATTCGCATCAAGAAGAAGTCAACGGTGGTAAAATGAAAAAAAGTTCTTCATTGCCGCTTTCGGATCGCATTAATAACTTTTTAAATATGGTCAATGGGAAACTTGGAAAAGATGAAAAATCGGATCAAATTCAAAATGCCAGGAGAGCTGATCACAGAAGGTTCGAAATTACATTAATTCGCGAAATTTATAATTTAATAAGAGAAGCTTTGAGTTTAGTCAAAACACTACCGGAGAAGAAGAAAAAGACCGTGGAAGATTCTTCAAATATCATCGAAGAAGATGATAGCAGAACAGACGGTGCAGATTACAATGAGGATGTTAAGGATGGATTATTAAATTTGTATGGTGACACGAGGATTCTTTATCGGGAAATAGTAAAAGATTTTGAATTACGGAATGGGCGTAAGACATTATTAATTTCGAGTTATTATTTACAAAATTTGTTTGACATGTGGAGTCGGAGCCAGCTTTCCGAAAATCCACCTGTATATGATGAAATGGCTGCTAGAAGGAATTATGAAGATTTTAAGAGATACTATACTCAATTAAATGACGATAGTACTGGTACTACTCGTATGCATAAGCAGGATATTGTGGCCAATGAGTCAGCAGGTCGTTCTGGATTTGATCATTTATGGAATTCGACAAGTAAACAATCGAACAAAAAGAATCATCCTGATAATTCAGCATCCCACAATAGGATCAATGGGAAACTTGGAAAAGATGAAAAATCGGATCAAATTCAAAATGCCAGGAGAGCTGATCAAAGAAGGTTCGAAATTACATTAATTAACGAAATTTATAATTTAATAAGAGAAGCTTTGAGTTTAGTCAAAACACTACCGGAGAAGAAGAAAAAGACCCTGGAGGATTTTTCAAATATCATCGAAGAGGATAGCACAAGGTACGGTGCTGATTCGAAATTTATAATTTAATAATAGGATCAATGGGAAACTTGGAAAAGATGAAAAATCGGATCAAATTCAAAATGGCAGGAGAGCTGATCACAGAAGGTTCGAAATTACATTAATTCACGAAATTTATAATTTAATAAGAGAAGCTTTGAGTTTAGTCAAAACACTACCGGAGAAGAAGAAAAAGATCGTGGAAGATTCTTCAAATATCATCGAAGAAGATGATAGCAGAACAGACGGTGCACATTACCATGAGGATGTTATGGATGGATTATTAAATTTGTATGGTGACACGAGGATTCTTTATCGGGAAATAGTAAAAGATTTTGAATTACGGAATGGGCGTAAGACATTATTAATTTCGAGTTATTATTTACAAAATTTGTTTGACATGTGGAGTCGGAGCCAGCTTTCCGAGAATCCACCTGTATATGATGAAATGGCTGCTAGAAGGAATTATGAAGATTTTAAGAGATACAATACTCGATTAAATGACGATACTACTGGTACTACTCGTATGCATAAGCAGGATATTGTGGCC